TAACAGATGCCAGAACATTAGCGAGTCCCAACATAGTTATCATCTTAGTAGGCAACAAGAAGGACTTGGAGGCAGAGAGAGAAGTCACATTCCTAGAGGCTAGCAGATTTGCACAAGAGAATGGTGAATAAATTCTTTGAATCTTTTGATGGATTCACAAAGTTGGAATGAAGATGTGTAGTCCTAGTTATTATATACATATAAGCTTGACAGGACGTCTAGTAATAGTTTGAATTTTTTTTTTACTCATTTTGCTGAGAGATATTTCTTTTACTTTAAAATTTGCATTGATTATAATTTATTTAGAAGCCCTTTACCTGATTTCTGTAATATTGAATAACTGACTCTTTTTACAGTGCCATATGTTATTGCTCTTTTTTTGAAAAAGTAAAATTAGTCCCCAAGTTACTGGGAAATATCTACTTATTTCTGTCCAAAGTCCCCTGCTTCACCCTTACTTGTTATTGTGCATGTGTGCTCAGTGTACCATATGTGCATGTGTGCTCAGTGTACCATACCATCTTCTTTTTGTCTGTATATTTGACAGCTTTGCTGCCTTTTTATGACCATGTGTTCTTCATGGATTATTACAGAGCTAATGTTCCTGGAAACCAGTGCATTAACAGGGGAGAACGTGGAGGAGACTTTTCTCAAGTGTGCCAGATCCATTCTTACAAAAATAGAGTCAGGTAAGACAAGGACAATTTTATTTAGAAAAGCTCTTTTTATCACCTGAAATGTACAATTTGTGGGAGTTGTAAAGAAAAGAAAAAAAACTGTTTTTTTTTTTATTAGACACTCAATTTTAAAAACAGTGTATGCTCTTGGGTTCTTGAAAGTACATAAAAAGAGAAATCTTATTTTTTGTCCTGTAATGGTAGAAAGTTGAAATGGCAAGGTGTCTTAGACCCCATTCCCATAAATTTTAGATCGATCTATTCCTGTGGGGAGTCTCACTAGATTACTGTCAGCTAAGCCGGCTTTATCATCTGTGCCGCCTACTAAAAGCTGTAAGGGGGTAATTAACTATGTCGGCGCTCGGCTGACTGCAATGTAGCGTGAACCCCCAGGGAGCTAGGTCGATCTAAATCTAAATCTGTGGATCAATCTAAATCTCTGGGAATGCACCCTTAAAATTAAATATAAATACAAAAAATGGAGTAATTGTTACCTCTGTATGTAATATTAGAACTGTGTAATTTGTAGAAACATTTTCACATATATCTAGAATTGTGTGAAAGTACTTGCCATAATAGAACCAGAGGTAATTTGCTGTTCTTCCCATATAACAGAAGTATGGCCAGTAAGGGAATATATGAATAAGACAAGGGAATTGATGTAACAAATGCATAACCAACTTTCTTCTCAGCTGAACTGTTGGCTTAGATGTCAGTACATGAGATGATCAGTGACCTTTAAAAGATGGGCATTGATTGAAGTCTGACTAGTCATCCATGATGCAAACTAAAAGCTCTGCCTAATTTGTCTCAGACTAAACCATGATAAATGTAATATATTGAACACATTACTTACCATTGCCAAATCGATAGTAAATCTAGCACACTCACAAAAAAAAAAAAAAAGATAGAAAAAAGAAAGGAAATGTTCAATTGTCTTTGATTCACAGATTTGTGCATTATTAAAGTGGGATTCTAGAAATTGGATGGCCAAATTAATTTAACCCAGGCAGCAGATAATTATGAAGTATTCTTGCTGATACTGTAAATTCAGTTTTATTTATGCATACTGTATTTATTCCGTTGTTAATGACTAACTCTGAGATGTTTATTTGTTATAATAGGAGAGCTGGATCCAGAAAGGATGGGTTCTGGGATACAATATGGTGACGCCTCATTACGGCGCTTGAATCGACAGCAACAGTCGGGCAAGAAACCAGATTGTGCCTGCTAAAACACCGGACTGAAATTAGAACAACTGGAGAATTTATTTATTTTGGAGACGTCTTGTACCTGTTTTACTTACTACTAGTACTTCATTCAAGAATGATGAAAAAACTGCAGAGCAGGTTAGGAAGTGAGAACAGGGACAGGGTGGTCACTGGACTGTCCCATGAAAAGTTCTGGTCATAAGATTTCTTGAGAATTTCAGAAATAAATTTCTGCTTCTCTGCAGATCTTTGTGAGGACAGGCAGTATGTAAACTGTCAGTGGAACAGAACTTTAAATATCAAGATAAACTTTTCCATTCTTTTTAAACTACCGAGTTTAGGATAATTTGGCCTTTTCTGGACTGATATAACCAAAATTGGTGCTCTTTTGCATCAGTGTATGAAGTCTTTATAAAAAAGCAGGCAGGGTTTAAGAAAATCATTCTTATAAACTAGTGACTTGATGATTACTACTCAAGAACAAATAAACATTTCATGATAAATATTACGAATAGTGGGACATGAGGATCCCATATAATGTTAGCATTCAGAAGAGAATTTGTGTATTATATATAATTGAATGGTCATGTAACTTGAGATTACTTGAAGGTTGTTGCTAGTCTAAATAAAGTTTGAGCATTGTTTTTTAGGGCACTTGATGTAATTATTTTGTTATATAGCAGCCTTTGTTCTACCAACTGCCATTTTGAGTAGGAATGTGTAAAATTATTTCAAGGAATATCTGCACATTGTCTTACATACAGTCTTATTGTGTTCAAATATGTGGCACTTGTTATAATTGTCTGAACTTGTAAGAAAATTAAAAGGGTAATTTTCAAAGCGCACCAAGTCGGTGCACACCCCCCCCCCCCCCCCCTTCCACTGGCATGTCTGTTTAATATGCTTCAGAATAATCAACTGCAATGACAAATATCTGATTTTTGTTATTGGATTTGACAACTTGGTCTGGAACCAAGTTTTTTTTCTTTTATGTTGACTGTACATGCAAGATATCCAGTAGTAAATAACCAGATGTTGCCTAGGAAACCTATATACAAAGCTAAAATACTCCAGGAAATATTCTTTTTCACTGTATAACCATCTCCTAAAATCCAAGATTTAATTTTATTTCAACCAAATTGTCATCTTAACTTGTGATGAGACCAAGTTTGCCTCCTTTTTCCTACATCCTTGGTAGACGAGTCTGAAATATTGATGTTAGCAGTCATGTTAAATATGATCATGTAAACTGTTAGGTTACATAAAATGCACATTTTGAAATGTTTAAGAAATGAGGTAGAAATGTGTTTCTACATTGTAAAATATTTAAGAGTTCTGTGAAAAAACGAATGTGTATTTATAGTATGCTCTCCACATGTAATAATTTCTTCCACTCATTATGCCAAGTTCTAGATCCTATTCATGTCAGCTCTGTTTTCAATTTTCTCTATGCCCTCTTATCAGTATAAATATTGATATGTACAGAAGCTGATGAGGCTAATAGTACTTATGAATATTCATACTGATAAGAAGGCATACAGTATGAATATTCATAAGTACTCTGAGCCTCATAAGCTTCTGTACTTATGAATATCCATACTGATAATATAAGTACAGAAGCTGATAAATATTCATGAGTACAGAAGCTGATGAGGCCCAGAGTACCTCCTGTCAAATCAGAGGCGACATTTGAAATACATTTCACTGTGAAATGGTAACTTGTGTGTATTTTAAAACTAATGGTGAGCTGGATCCTGTGGAAGTGCCAGAAGTATTGAAAGAAATGGTGGTGCTCTGTGTAATAGTTATGTTATAATTTAGTGTAATAGTTTGTTATAGTGTTTTGGGTAAAAAATGAAATCCATTTCAAGCAGTTCATTCTTTATGTTAGTTTGTTTCCATAACATACATGCCATGGTTGATGCATAGAAACATCTTGGATTATAACAGGTCATTCTTCATACACTCAAAGTTGGCATAAAACAGAAAAAGCTGTTGAATTTTACCACAGAACCTTGAAATAATACCAATAACAATTTTCTCTTTGAAACAATCCTAAATAAAATTAGTATAACTTGAGGGTGTCACACATGGTTCAGAAAAGCAATTATTTAGTTGAGCAAAACTTAATGATTCTGGTATTGTATGTTTAGTGGAAAAATAATCTCAAAGGTTTGATAATTGTGTGCCATGTTTATGTTGACAGTTAATTGTTGAAATGTGTTACAAATAAATGTCTGTAGCTGGAATGAAGCATCTAAATTTAAATTTTGTCATTAAAGCTTCATACATTAATGTCTTGGTCTCTGTTTTGTTTTCTAGATACTTCTTAATTGGAAAGAAAAGATGTAAGGAAATTATAGGTACTAGTACACAAGGCAGATTCAACTGACACCGTTTTATGTAAATTTTATTACTGAGACAATATTTTTGTTTCATGGAAATTTTCATGACAGAGCTACTATTTTACGAGCTTATACAAGTCGGATAGTATAGATAGTAATTCCTTATATTAAAGAGTGTTAAATAATCATGTCAGATTCATAAAAAAAGGACAGTTTTCTTCTTCAGTCATAATATCAGAATTTAGTGGGTAGTAATACCAACCTGTGTGCTCAATGTTACAGTAATCAAGATGTGCAATGGGGGTAAACTTTACCAAGCTTGTACTTAGAGGTGGAAAATTATTTTATTTCAAATGCAGCAAAGAAATGGCCATAAGGTGTATCTTCTAATTCTTACCTGCTTATTCATTCCCATTCAATCCTTTATTTTTAGTGTTTGGCCTGTACTCCATTATATCTTGGCACACAGTGTACATTTTTTTTTTGTAAATATTCTGTTGCATTGCATGTTGAAATAAAAAAGGTAAATTTAATATTTGTCAGTTGTTTCATAAATACTGAATATTTCAAAACTGGAATAAAACTTGCCTTAAAAAATATTTATTCACCTAATCCATAAAAGGCAAATTTATGCAACTATTTTATCCATAAAAACTTATCAGTTCCAATGATGCTATTTTTTTTACTCATTTAAATTATCATTTCAATTTCTGCCTTGATCATGAGTTGACTAATAAATATAATAAAAACAAACCAAGACATAAACAAAGGATTTGATAGGTGCTCCAAGAGCAAAAGACTAGATATCCTACAAAAACCTTGAGCATATTTCTTCATTCCTCAATTAAATTTACTAAATGTGACTGTCTATCAAAATTGTCTTGCCTAAAACTCAGTGTGCTTAAATAGATTCTGGTGAATGTGTGTTGTCATAAATAAATCCTCAAAATATCTTTTAAAAATCATTTCAAATAGTTCCTTTTTGAATATTGTCTCCTTTTTTCATTTTTTTTAAAGGAAGTTGGTCTTTGTTTTAGGCAGGGACATATATTTTATCCACCCTACTAGGGGCATATGATCTCGTCCTAAGATTTCTCTCATATGTGTCCTTCTCATAACCAGCAAAGCAATCCCTATATTCTGTGCTCCAGCGTGATGTTTCCCGCACCATGCGTTCATTGAATAAAGCTTTCTCATTAAAGAGTGCCAACTTTCTTTTCTCCCTGTATGTGGCTTTTTCCCGTTCCTCTTCTCTCCTCTCAATGGCAGCTTTATGGCGTCTCTCGGCCTTCAGTGCTGCTGGGTAAATCTAGAACATTATACAAAATATATAAACATAATGAAAATATAAAACTAAGTTATTACATTCTCAAAGGTTATTTGATTAAAAGCCCTAAGGAAAAGAAAGCAAGAGCTTTATTAAAGAATAAGATAGAAATTTGTAAAGGAATCACACATATTTTTTGTTATAAAATGTATTTTGAGAAAACTGGTATGTTGTTCACCTTCATAAATTTTATTTGCTCACTCAAACCAAAGCACAGTCAGAATTTCCTGATATACTAATTTTAAAATTACTTTTATCATAGCAAAACTCTAAAAAAAATAAAAAAGGAAATAATTACATTATGTCCAGCTCTAACATTATGTGTCTGTAGTGCCCCTGTTTCTCTCTCCTGGTCTGCCATGCCATAGGGTAGGAAGGGGTGGTCATGAAGGGGTCGACGTGAGGGCCGCCCCAAAGGCTCATTCATTGGTCTTGGTGCTGGTATCTTGCGATATTTGTTTGGCTTGACTGGTCTAGACTTTTTGGGTCTGGCTGGCCTGACATCTGAGAGTATATTCAAAATTCATTTTTATATTGAAATGTCAAATGAATGAAGCAGACATTGAATTCTGGGCAAAGATAGGCAGACCAATGCATTTCTTATTCATTTTACACAAAAGTATGAATTTATCCTCTTTTTTGAAAAACTTTGTGACCATTTTTAAGACAACCCATCTTTCATTTTTAAAAATATATAAAAAAGAATGGGAAAAATCATGCAAACTAAGGGCGTATTCCCAGAGCTTTTACATCGATCTATCCCCGCGGGGAGTCTCACTAGATTACTGTCAGATAATCCGGCTTAAATGTCCGTCCCGCCTACTACAAGCTGTAAGGGGGTAATTAACTTTTGTGCCCACTCGGCTGACAGCTATATAGTGTGAACCCCCAGGGAGTTAGGTCGATCTAAAGAAGATCGATCTAATCTCTGGGAATGGGGTCTAAGGCCTTTACTAGTACATAAAATATTAATACAGAAATAATACTACTAAATTCATTAACAATTAACAAATTCCTAATAACATGAAAATATCTTCAAATATATTACACTAAAATACAAACCCTGGCAAGAGCAGTCCCGACCACAACAATGACAGTACATCAATAAATTAGACTCTAACAACAGTCAGCTGCTTCTCTCTTTTCTTTTACTCAATCTATTTTGTATCATATAGTAACAGTATCCATACCAACAACAATAACATTTATTGCATAACAATAGAGTGTTTTCTGTAACAGTGATATTTTGGAAAATTGAAACAATGGATCTGTAATTGTTGCAATCGATAACAACAACAACAACTAAGCCCAATAATGGAACTGTCATATATAAGGACAATCATGACTGTAATATTTTCTAAATTTGTCCAATAATGGGCTCCACATTGTTGATAATACATTTATTACAAAGATGTAACAGTAATTTAGAAATGTCCATAAGCATATCAACAGCTTCCTTTATTTCATCTCTCACCTTTTTCTTTCCCAGCAGTTTTCTTGTGTTCCTTAGCTGGAGGTTCTGGCAGGGGAATAGCATCACCCTCACCTTGGCCTTGCTCTTCCTGCACCTGTTCCTGAGCAGGTCTCACCTCAACTGGGCCCCATGCTTCAGGGGTCTGAACCTCGCGGTCATAGAGTTCATGCTGATGATTTCTAAGCCTGTCTTGCCTGGATGCTGCCCTCTGCTGGTATTTCTGTAATAACTTCCTGTGTTTCTCTACATGTTTTGGTAAAGGATATCCCGGCAAGCCTCCGCGGTATGTGTCATCTTCTTCATCAGAGTCCGAGTCTGTGGCCCAGTCCCATTCCTACAGTAAACAAATCAACTAAAATATCTATTTTGCGACTAAAATGCATCACAGTAAATATCACTTCAAAACCCCGCCTGCCAGACAAGGTGTTCAATCTTCAACTAATATACAGGAGCATACTGCTGGCGAGTTTCATACCTGCCACAGGAAATGTTCATCTCTGTGTTGGTGTTCTTCTTGTCGCCGTTCAAAGCGGTAGTCTACATTGGTGTTGTAGTCCTCTTCGTACTCTTGCCACGCTGTACGACTTCGCGGTGGACTGAACTCTCTGCGGTAAGCGGTTTTCTTCACCACCATTGTGCTATACAAATAGAATTATATTTAATTTATGCTGGAATAATTCTAAACTCGATCCTCTGTTGAACTTGCAAGCTTGTAAGAACAGTACTCATGCAGACAGGGGCAGTGATCAGAAATGAAGACTCTTAAAGTTGCAGTTATAACGTGTGTGTAGAGATTTCTCAATACACAGACATCCCATAGAGCGCGAGTTACCTGATTACGCTGAACCCAGTAGTCTAAGTGGGGGAGATTTATTGTCGAAAAACTAATATTATTTTAACATTTATCAATGACGAAGTCAAAGATGAATGAATGAAACGTGGCCTTAGTGCAGAGATTTCCTTACGTGAATGTCCCCAGGTTCGTCCATACTTATAGTTGAAACTACTTGATTAACACAAACGCACACTTAGCAGACTAAAAAAATTGCTGCATACTTACCTGATTTAATTAGGGAAGCATTAACATGGTTCCAATCTTGACTGGGACGTACCACCTCTGAGGTCGACCATTCAAAACAAATGTCACGTGACAACGCCAGCCTCAGTCTGGCGGAATGTTTCAGCTGGATGTTCCCAACTAACACATTCTGAGTCTAAAGAAATTGGCTTTTGAGAAAAAGGATGGGAACATTATCAATACTTTACCTATAATAAGGTATTCAAAGATAATAATTTTTAAGACAAAGCTTAACGTTTTTGGTAAAATAATGTAGTTATTGAAATGTTCAATGTTATTTTTAATAATACGATTTTCATGCAGTATATTTTTAATTTAAATGTGTTCAAGGGTATTTACAGTAATTGCTCCAAAATTCTTCAGGCAAAGGATATCTTTGAAACACATGTACAGTCAATCAATAATTTAAATGAGAAAAGATAGGAATTTTACAAGGAATTTTCAAAAAAAAAAAGCTCTCTGGACACCGTGGTACCTTTATAAAGTTAGAATTATAAAAACAAAGGCAGTTTTATTTCTTATAACTATTTATTTAACAATTTGAGCTTTCACAAATACTTCATGAACTTAAATAATTATCTTGATAATTTGAAATAGGTGTGTAAAACTACATATTGGCAGTTCATGAAGAATTTTTCATGCATACTGAAATTCTTACAAAATTAAAATAATTTTAAAAGCTTTTACAAGCCCATAAACATCAAAATCATCATTTTACAAGCCATGGAACATTGTATATACTGGCCTTTAAAATTGATCTATACTTTTGCACATAACTCTTGCATAGGCAGTATATCCTGTGCCTAATCAAATAATAAAACTGTAATAGACCAGGCAAAAGACAAAGAAAGGGGGAAGTCTGGCATTGCAGAAATTTAGTTGCTGTTTTGTGTGTTTTTTATTATTTTGTACATTCTTAGATTGCATAAACAGGGGGGTTGATATAGCAGTAAGCCTTCCGTGATGAAGATTTTTATTGTCACTGTCACGAACACTCAAAACAATACACTGCACCTTTCAGTATAATCAAAGTACAAAAAAATCATTCCTTTCAATTTGCTGTTATAACTTGTCTGGTTACAACACAGCATGACTAGCCTTTTTTATTTATCAATGAAAAAGTAAAACTGTGAATCACTGTCTATGTACATCAACTTTACTCTCCAGTCTTTAGATTTCTTTCCACTCCAGAGCTCACCATGCAAACTTAGTAATGATTTAACAGAACGGCATCTAAGCAGCTGAAACAAAATCTAGAGCATCAGCAACAACCATTAAAACTTAATGTGGTGCTATCATGCTCCATTATACTTGAATGTTGGCAAATCTTGATGACTTTTGAAAGCACCAGACTAGAGATTGCAGTGTCATCTTTTGAGCACCTTAGCACATCTATTATTACTCTGATAACTTCACAGAAATGAAATTATATTCGACTTTTATTTCTTGAACGCTTTCCAGACCATGCTCTAAATCTGCTGTACAACCTAGGTGGACAGTACACAGGCACCCTTAAATTCCTTCTATATCCTATATGGCAGAGTACACAGGCACTCTAAATACTCTTGTATATCCTAGGTGGGGAGTACACAGGCACCCTATACACCCCTGTATATCCTGGGTGGTGAGTACACAGGCACCCTATACACCCCTGTATATCCTGGGTGGTGAGTACACAGGCACCCTATACACCCCTGTATATCCTGGGTGGTGAGTACACAGGCACCCTATACACCCCTGTATATCCTGGGTGGTGAGTACACAGGCACCCTATACACCCCTGTATATCCTGGGTGGTGAGTACACAGGCACCCTATACACCCCTGTATATCCTGGGTGGTGAGTACACAGGCACCCTATACACCCCTGTATATCCTGGGTGGTGAGTACACAGGCACCCTATACACCCCTGTATATCCTGGGTGGTGAGTACACAGGCACCCTATACACCCCTGTATATCCTGGGTGGTGAGTACACAGGCACCCTATACACCCCTGTATATCCTGGGTGGTGAGTACACAGGCACCCTATACACCCCTGTATATCCTGGGTGGTGAGTACACAGGCACCCTATACACCCCTGTATATCCTGGGTGGTGAGTACACAGGCACCCTATACACCCCTGTATATCCTGGGTGGTGAGTACACAGGCACCCTATACACCCCTGTATATCCTGGGTGGTGAGTACACAGGCACCCTATACACCCCTGTATATCCTGGGTGGTGAGTACACAGGCACCCTATACACCCCTGTATATCCTGGGTGGTGAGTACACAGGCACCCTATACACCCCTGTATATCCTGGGTGGTGAGTACACAGGCACCCTATACACCCCTGTATATCCTGGGTGGTGAGTACACAGGCACCCTATACACCCCTGTATATCCTGGGTGGTGAGTACACAGGCACCCTATACACCCCTGTATATCCTGGGTGGTGAGTACACAGGCACCCTAAAGACTCGTATTTGTGCCTTAGGCAGGAATGCACAAAGCCTGTCCATCAACTGATCAATACTGACATACTCAGGCAACATGGAGACATCAGACTCGGCACTGTCATGGTTTGTGCTGGCTGGTAGGAAAGGAATACATTCAATTGATTTTTTTGGCGTCCTGTTGCTTCCCTCCCCATTGTCACTGCTGCTAGCGTCTTTGTTTTCAGCTGTACTGGATTGGTCATTCTCTCCCTGCTGGTCACTGAGTATCACGGAGCTATTTTTGTCAGGCATAATTCCCCAGTCCAAGGTTTTGAGGTTAATCAGCTTGCTTACTGCATCGAGAGTATTGGTGTTTACTACAGCTGCCTAGAGGAATCAATAAGGAAAAGTCATCAGTTTAGATAAAGCTAGAGTTATGCTGAAAGTGATTATATTCTTAGTTAGAACTTTCGGAGAAAATGGGAAAGTAAGGATCTGGATTGTCTTTCACAACAGCTTATAACCACAAATCAGTACATTATTATCAAGATAATCAAGTGTTATGTTTCAATATATCCAGGTGAGGATGACTAAAAGGACCATATATAGAAAACAAAATTACCTGAGGTGTAGTGAGGTTTGGCCATACAGACAGGGTTTTGATGTGTGTTAGCTGCGGCAGTGTAGCAGCCAGGTGACTTCCTATCACAAACATTATCAGCTCCAGTTGCTCTAACCTAAAATATGCAAGTAAGACATTAGGAAATATCCCATGTGGATACTGTCATGGAAGATAAAGTCACAATTAAATGGTTTATTTATCCTATCAGAGTTAACTGGATGAATTCATATGATTTACTCTTAACTTAACAAATGCTGACAAGATGAAATGAATATAGAAGAGAACATGTAGAGTGTAACAACAGTGTTTCTTTGTATAAAAAGATGGCAAAGGAAATTACATGGGTCTTCTAAGACAAAATATTGCAAAAGTTTGAAGTAATTTTAATTTTCAATTCCAAATCATTATGAAAATCTGTCAAACTCACTTAGTCAATTCCTTGAGTGAGACGGCTAGTGCACTGTCTGCATTCTCACTTCCATTTTCCAGTCTAAGTGTGTGCAATTGCTTTAGGTGAGATAGAAGTAGGTACGTCTGGAATAAATAAGAAGTTTGGAGGTCAAGATACCCTCAATAAATAATAAAAATCTAAAAACTCAAAATATTTAACAAAAATGTAAATTATAAGAATATACATTAAATTATTTATACATATATAGACTCTAATGACAAATATCTTTCTAAGAGGAAGTAGCTTCTCTTTGTAACTGCTTTTTTTTTTAGAGGGGTGCCCCCTAGAAAAATATCTGTTCTCAAGCTTAAAATTAAAGAAAAGTCTAAAAAAAAACTGCAATTTTTGCCAGATACATTGAAAAATAACATTGCTGAATATCAAAATCTGAGCCTACTTCTGCACTCCATGTTGTACAATCTCCAATTTCTAAGACTTCCAAATTTTCCAGTTGTCCTATGAAAGCAAATTCCACATCTGGAACATTCTTCATTGTAGTAAGTGACTGAAATAACAAAGCAATTATAGTTAATTTTATGATGATGCTATATTTCAAACACTATATGAATGATAGTCATAGAAATACTATGATAGCCGAGTCAACTTATCTTATATCTACTTTCAAAACATAGTATGCAAAAACTCTTACTATGCCAACCGTAATTGATCATGTTGTCTAATATCAAATTAGTGTTCTTTTTCATGATTTAAATTTTATAAATGTTTCAAACATGACCCTAACTCTTATAACAGTAATTGACTGAAAATTTTACTTATTAAAAACACATTATTTCTTTACCAAAATCCTTAAGTTTTTCAGTTTTCCAAAATCTGCCAGTCCCCCACTGAATGCAAAGGCTGGTAATACCAGTCCACACAAACCCCTCAGTCTCAGTTCCTGAAGGTTGGCGAGCTGAATGAACTTCCCCAGGTCTATCTTTGTATTTGTTGACCTAAAATTTGTACCAATAGCTCATGAGTATTACAAAATACAATAGACTTGGCATATTACTGAACTTTTGGAGCAAAAATAAATTTGAGTTACCAACAGATCGTGACCGAAAGAAAGATGCTGCACGTATGTCATTAAGTTGATCTTGAATATCTATCATCTGATATTTATTCTCAGCTTGTTCATTTTAGGTATGCCTTGGTATTCATGAGAATATAGACTAAGTTTCACAGAAAATTAATTTTGTTTTTTGCTATATAACCATCTTAAACGTATAGAATGCACACAAATGGATAAAGCTGGTAACTCTGATCTTTACCACTCACCACATCTGTGGCTCTGTAGTGGTATCAGTGATCCACTCTGCTGTTAAGACCTCCAAGTTGGGCATCCTCTCTGCCACGTGCTGTAGAATAATGGCAGGAGCTCGTCCAAAGTCTATCCGCCTGAGACTGGTGAGCTCACCCAAGACCGCCGTCATCTGGTGCCAGGTCCTGTTCCTGTCCTCTCTGTGCAACAAACCACGCATGTCCTGAAGAGAGGGACAAAGTAGGGTCAAGTTCAAGGTCAGATTTTTTTTTAAAGTTCAAGATCAAATGAAATGCCTCATGTAGATAACTTTTAGATACATAGAGAAGTTTCAAGTTAAGCAATTCAAGGCAAAGACTTATTGAGAAGAAATATCCAACATTCAACTATATATCCTCTTCAGAAGAGACATTTTAAAACATTTTTTCTAGCCAAAAACTATCAAACTCCTCTGAAGCATTTTAATATGTTTTAAACTGAGCTCACCAGTGTGTGCGTGTTGAACTTCTTGAAGTGTCTGGCAGCAGCTTCCCAATCAGAGATACAACTGTCTTTTAACCTCACATGTGTCCACTAGAAGTGATGGAAAATAATTATCTAATTACAAATTCATAGTGGGTATCAGCTTCAATCCTATACTACTTCATTTACATTATATAGACTAACAATATTTGAGGTATATCTACATTTCACATAATTAATACATCTTTCTGTCATTAGCTTCATACACAGTTTCATAATTCTACAGAGGCAAGTTCAAAGTGTACATGAAGACCTTGAAATTACACGTTTACACCATAGTTGAGACTGAAATCACTGCAGGTTGGCAATCTGTATAGGAGAGATACAGAACATCTGACTAAATGCAAGTTTGGATTTGTTTTAAAAAAAAACATGTAGCTCCATATACACATTCAGACCACGCTCAGATTCAAACATTTTACCAGCTGGATCAATCCAACTCTGCAGGGACTCTCATTAAAGTGCACTCGGTGTAACCAGGCTTATTGTCTGATACACCTTCTTTAGTTGCTAGCTAATTAGTTAATTACCCATTACCAACTTGAGGACAACGTGTCAGACATTTAGGCAGATTGCAGTGATTGCACTTAGGGAGATCTGCAGAGTTGGATATATCCAACACTGGGTTAGCGCTAACACTTGCCAATTTAGCCAAATGCTAAAACTTACTTAAATTGGCTAAAGAAAAAGGGCTTGATTTGAATTGTTTTAGTCATATTACAATCACTTTGATAACAAATTGGCAAAAAAGTGGTGATTTGGCTAAGCGAAAAAAAAATTGCTAGCGCTACCCCAGCAACATACAATGGATATATCAAAATGTTCCATAGGAGCACAGATATACAATAGTATAATCCATATTGCTTTCATGTCTGCCATACTCACAAAGGAGATCTGACTGATAATGTTCCTCCAAGTTCTGCACACTCTGCTAGCCCTAAGAAGTTCTGCTGTCGTAAGATATTGGAACACATGCATAAGGCTGTCAAAGCCCATGTGAAATGCCCTAAAGTGACACATTTTCGACTGATCTAATGTTTTTATTCTGACAGACCGCCGAGGCTGTTTTGTATTGTCCATAGAAATATTTTTGTCTGAATTTTCTGCATTATCACCATTCTCCCCTTTTGATTCATCAAAGGGTTTTTGCTGTAAACTAACTGCGCGACTGACAGCAGCCTGTATGTCACTAGACGATCCAGCGTTCGTAACAGTTGAAGTTGAACTAGTTGTGGCCACAGTAGCAACTTTTGTCGATGCCGTAACTGGTAATGTATTTGATGGGAGCATAATCTTAATCCCTTTGCTGGTTGGTACAAAACACGTTGGAGGAATCATGTATGTTTGATTGTTCAGTTTAATGGCCAAAGGCTGGCTTAGGTTAATTTTTTTCACAACTCCCATAGGAAGTGTCAAAAGCTGACATTTTTGAGATCCATCTTGCTGGTTGATCACTTGGATCTTTGGGGAATGTGAAGGGCTTTCGCCTGGACTAGAACACGGAGAAGAGGGAACTGCAAATCGTGTGAATGCCATAGGCGGCACTGGTTGAGGCACCATGGACACTGGTGGCGCAGGCCCCGAGACACTAATGACAGGAAGTGGCGCAACTGGCAAGCGCGTGAATATCATATTAGGTCGTGGAGCCCCGGGGGCAGCTTGCAAAATGCTGGGCGGGCCCATAGGTGAGCTGTCCTCACGCGTCAGACGTGCTGTTGGAGCTTTGACAAGAGGAGGTGGAGGTGGAGCAGTCTTCAAACTGATTGGGGTCACCTCTGGCACCTGATTCAGTATAGACCTGATGGCCCCACTGGAACTTACTGGAGTGGTGCTGCCACTGGCCTGACTAGATTCCAAGGGAGTATTTTGCACTATAGACATAACACCAGTAATTTTCAACTCCAAGTCGTCCTCTGACTTTGTTTGTTTTTGATCCTTAGATTTGACAAACTCTTCGAGTTTTTGTTTGGTCCATATGCTAGGCTTCATGGTCCAGTTGCTAGGCTTCATCACCAGGGCATCTGCTTGGGTAGGGCTGGTGTCTTTGAGCAGTGAAACATCTGCCTTCTTCACTGAATCCTTACACCTCTGAAAGTGTAGGCTAAAATTATGACTTTGGCATGTTCTTATCTTCCAAAATACTTATTTATCCAAATAGTTGATGTGTCAATTATGCACAACTTTCAAACACTAAATTTATTCCAGATCTTTTTATTTTTAAATTAACCTATTAACCATTGAAGAAGTAGGTAAAGTAATGCACAACATCAGACAAATATACTAACAGGTAATTTTTCTTTTACCATTCTCATTTTATTTTTATTCTGACATGAAGGCCAGACCTAAGATAATTTAGAGTACGAAAATGCCTCACCAAGCATATGAAGAGAGCCTCTCTTGTGCTCCCGATGAAATTGACACACTGCGGATGGAACAGACACATGCAGACCCCACACTGTAAAGATGGAGGCGCGCCGTCTAACCCGGGACAATTCAAAGAACACAGACTCTGGTCAGGACTCTTTAGGCTATAAAATATGAAAAATTTGATGAAAAAAATGAAACTTTTGATTCCAAATAAACCTACAGATCATTATAAGCCTATATGCATTTATGATTGTATAAAAAATTTAATCAATTGTATAAATTTCACAGGACATGTAATCATTAATTTAAATGCACCCTTTTAGTGTTCAAATTATTCAATCTGAGCAGTTCTCAGTACTCACACTAGATGATTCCGGTGTTTGTCTCCCACAACAAAAGACTTCACAACCGAAGCTCCTTTCTTAGTCCCGGAATCGCTTACACCAACAGGTGAACTTTTCTCAGCCTCATCAACAGGAAACACTAGTTTGATCTTTTTGGGAGCAGGTCCTGCACTCTTTTCTTTTTCTGTTGTTAATTCAACATTTTCTATTTTCTCTGGTTTTGAGTCCTGTTCTGGTATTTTAATATCCGCCAGTTTTTTAGGAGCAGCCGGCCTCCCCCTTTTCTTTTTCTGCCTGGGGTGTTTTGTGGTTCTTGTGTCTGACCAAGATGTGGATGTCGCATTGTTCAACATGTCAAGCATTTCTTTAGTAGGACTACCAAAGGACGGGCTGGCGGTTAAACTTTTACGCCCAGCGTGCCTGTTGGCCGTGCGCACCATTTCATAGGGTTCCTTGTAGATGGGCTTCCGTATGAAGGAGAAACAGTCCAGATTGAGATCTGTATTACCTTGCATGTCCACTAAGGAAGAAAATCAGAAGCCATTTCTTGTGAATATCAAACACATTTCTATAATTTTGTTCTTTAAGTCATGTTGAACAAAACCAAACATCATCAGTCACATAATTTACAGCAGAGCCATTTATTTATTTATTATTATTTCTGATAATAAACCATGTGGGCACTGCAACTTAAGAAAATTGTAAATATTGACAAGAAATTATAAGTGATCACCCCTTTTCCCTTTTACTTACAGTATTCCTGAACCTTCACAAGTGACCTCTAAAAGAAGAAAATATCTTTTGACTTCCTGACAGTGATTGTAATATGATTCACAAACCAATTTCTTATTTAGGAATATTTTTAATGCAAAAGAATGCAGATTTATATTAAAGCTAGATAAAAGATCATTAAAGTAGTATGTAGTTTTCTACTTAGTCTATTAAAAAACTCTTACTTCATATTTACAAGTAAAATACTACCAATTAGGCAATCCTTATTTCATAGAGAAAAATACAATACATTAATATTAAATGTGTCAAATATAAAAATTAAGTCAGTATTTCACACATCTAATGGAAATATTCCACAAATACAACGTAACGAGTGGTGTCAGTGGGATATTTATATGTGATTAAAACAAATGAAGAAAAAACAACTATAGTATAAGACATATGAAAAAATTAATTATACTGTACACTAACTCTAAAATCAAAGAAAAACCCATCATAATCATATTACAAAAGTATATTGTGTCACAAGAGAACTCAAGACTAAAAATCAATCTTAACTTTCGGATCAAAATTTTAGTCTAATTCAATCCAAACTAAGACCATAGTAGTCCACTAAAATAACACAACTATTGGTCTAGTACATTGACAACATGGATGGGACGGCCATTTGGTGAAAAAAATTAAAAAGGGGGTTCCCAAAAAGACAGAAATCGATAGTTGGAAAAATCTCATCGCTGTAGCAATTCCTCACTTGTAGAAAAAGGGAGGCAATGATCCATGCAACTGGACTACTACTTATCTGTCCTGAATGAAGAAGATGGTAAATTTTGGTATGAATGTCAAGACCCAAATTTTGGACTAAAGTTCTTTTGTGAAACGGGCCTCAGAGCCCCAAAAAACCAACATACCAGTTTTCTACCCTCTGGGTTGTAGTAATAAACATCAGCTTGGTTGCTTTTCCGTTTGTTCCCAGATACGGTTAAGCCTTCAAGTTGGTTGCGAATCACTAACTCCCTTTTCCACCCTATCAGTTGAATATAGAGACAGGAACGTGACAATTCTGCAGGTGCAGTATTTCCAACCCATCTTGAAATCCATGCACACATTTTACCTTTCATGGTGGATATAAACTTATCGCCTGCTAAACTGGAACTCAATTTTCACAAGATTCCTTTCAAGTTCTATTCAATACTTTTTAGGGTGAAGAATTAGGTGCCTGCATCCCAGTTTTTGAGTGGTGTGTGGGATTCAGCCATTTTGGTTAGTCCAGGGCATGAACAACAGATTTAACAATAACCTATATAAATCTAATCTAATAAAATAAAATAAAATGAAATGAGAAATCATTTATGGAGTAGAGCCAGTTAGTAAGTAACAAGCATATACACACCATGAAGGATTTATCACACACTAAAATAAAAAACACATCAACAGTGCAGCCGCTATTTGCGTACCAGTTTTCTTCCATCTGGCGTGAAATAGTATGTGTCAGCCAGTGTGGAGATCTTTTTGCCGTCCTTGGTCAAGCCGCCTTCATAATTTCTTATCACCACTTCACGCTTCCAACCTATTACATGCATCATAATGAAAACCAAATTAAATACTGGCGTTTTCCTGTCTTGATTAGTGCTGCCCTCTCAAGTCTTGCAACCTAAATTTGGTATATACAGCAATTTCAGCTAGAAAGCACAAGTGAATTAATTTTACTTCAACTGTCAGATTTTTTTTCAAATTAAGAATGGTTTCTTTTCCACCTGTTTCTTGAACCATCTGAATGTACACTAGCACAAGTGAAAGTGATTTTCAAATATAAATTTTCATAAGGAAATTATATCAATTTGTTAACATTCTATATGACACATGAGGAATAATATTTAAATGTTAAAACCCCATCTGTACAATTCATAAAATGTAAATCGAACAACAATCAAAAACATTTTGTGCTGAAAATATAATTTTCCCAGTCAACTTCATAATAAAATTAACTTTTATTCTCCTTGCAACAAAGTACTTTCTTTTTTTTTCTTCTTTCTCAACCTACCTTGTTCAAATGGCATTCTTAGTTTGGCACTTTTGGGTCCAACTTTCACTAGAAAAAAGTTATAAATACTAGTTAAAAGAATCATATCATTTGCAAGCATTTGATAATTTTAAATGATCCAAAAATAAAATCTTGCCAAAAAAATCCAACATATAACTGGTACATTATTGATATGTCCTTGTCATGTGCATTACAAACAGTGACAATTTTGTCAAAGTAACTGATAAATAGTATCTAAATTATCATATTAAATAAGCAAATAAATGTCTTAAGACCTATTTTTTCTGCTTTTTTTTTCAAGATTTCTGAATCCCATGGAATATTTGTCAACATACTTCAAAACCACTTACTTAAGATTCATTCACTCAAAAATTCTTTTACAAAATCCCTCCATGTCAATTCTGATAAAAAACTTGTTAAAAAATATTAAGCGAACTGGCTGCACACAAATAAGGCAAAGTACGGCTATTCCTCTATTGGAAGTACTTACTAGATTTGTTTGATCTCCGTTCTTTCTTTGCAGGACCTGACTCCATTTCTATGCCAGGATCCTCTTCATCATTGTCTGCCACATAGTCTGGCTCAATCTTGATCTTGTACATCAAACCATCTGTTTGATTTCCATCAAAAAACTCATCCACTGGTTCTGATTTTACAGTCACGCCACTAGATTTATCTAGGGTAGGAGATTCTTCTCCATTTTCAAGATTGGTTTCTGTGTCCATTTCACTTTCATCAACTCTTTGGTCATTTTTTTCCATATCATCATCGTCCTTGTCACCTTCATTTTCAGTGTCTTTGTTACTGCACTCTCTGTCTTCATTTTTGTTTTCAGAGGCATCTGGTAAAGCATTTCTTTCAATGTCTTTATCACCCATGCTCTGATTCACTGTATCTGTAGTGTCATCCTCCATGCTCTTGCTGTCAATGTCACTGTTACACCCAGCACCACTGTTTTCAGTCCCCTGCTCTATCTCTCCTGTTTGAGCCTCGCTAAAACTGTCATCACCAACATCAGCACCAATGATGTCATCGTCTCCCTCCATCCCGCTTTTGGGTTGCAGTGAAATTTCCTCTTCTTCCCCTAAACTTCCTTCCATACTGTTGTTCTCGTCACTTTTTGAAAGGTCCTTTTCCTCTTCATTTTTATCTGAGTGAGGAGACAATAGGCAGACTTCATCTTCATCACCATTATTTCCTTTATCAATTTTGCCCTCAACCATGGCCACATCAGAATTAACGTTATTGCACTCAGCAGTGGCCATTACATCATCTTGATTTGTTCCCTGGAAGTTATTGTCTAATTCTTCTTGCCGCAGGGTATTTTTCTCACAAGCAGAGTCTAACGAAGGAATCACCTTTGAATTTTCACAGCTTACTTTCTTTGATTGGTCCCTTACGATCTCCTTCTCCTCTCCTTCACATAACGTTACAGCTTCCATTTTGTTTTCCCTACCACTATTAAAACTGTCACTGTTTGTTCTGTGAGCATCAGTTTCAGTCTGATTTTCGTTTGTTTTCCCCGTAACTTGATCATGAGCACTGTGGGGAATGTCCCTTGGAAGATTAAATTCTAAAATGTCTGTTCTGTCACCTTCCTCGTCAGTAGCAGCACCACTTGCTACAGGTTGTTCCACAACATTTTCACCCTGTTTGCCTCTAACTCCTACTTGATTATCATGTGAAGTTGGTAAATTGAATGGCAGAAATGCAGAGACGGACTCAGTGCCACTGTGTAATTTTTGGTGTCCAGTCTGGGTCACTGTCATCTTAGGAGCCACAGGTGTAGAAGTAAGCACACAGTCCTTTTGCAGAAACCCCGCCATACTTGTTAATGGGGGTGGAGGGGGGAGTGTGTGAAAGTACCCCTCTCCAGGACGTTGAAGAAATCCCATAGGCTCTTCAAAAGCACCAAAGCCCTGTGAGGCATCAGGCTGTCTCATGGTATAATGGTTAAACCCAGGGGGCATCAAGCCTGGGTGTGGTGGATGGGAGGACGCTGGTGGATAGTCCCCTAATGATCTCCCTGGCGAGAGGTGGGTGGCAAAAGCTGGAGATGGCCCATTAAAAGGAGGCGATACTCCATTAAAAGGTGGCGATACTCCGTTAAAAGGAGGCGATGACCCATTAAACGGAGGTGACATTGGTGGAAAGTAGCCTCCGCCCTGCACCCACATGTTTGGATTGTTGCCAAAATGATTGGGATCCATGGTCAGGGGGCGCTGTATCTGGTCACCATTGTATAATGCCCAAGCTGAAATTAAAGCAAAACAGTCTGTTAAAGTGAACATGCTGAGTGTAAAATATCAACCACAAGCAAAAATCTGATAACTTTTAAGACCGCAAACACTGTTAAATTATCTCCTGCTGTCACGTTTGATTGTCAAAATCAAGTAAAAAATAACTGGTGCAAGTGAAGCAGAAACCTCACCAGCGTACACAGACACAGCATGAAACACATTTGATATGCGTCTCACGACCTCAAAAGACAAAACACAAGTTGAGGCGTTTGAGGTTGTAAACACTTTTTTTCATTCATAATGGTACCTGGGTATAAGTATTCTTGACCAAGGAGTAGCAATTATTGTTTTATCAACTTTTGTCCAGCCAATCACGACAACTTAAACAAACCTGCATGTCAAAAAATGTTTGCTGAAATAATATGCTATCGTAACTAAATTATCATCTCTTGAAGAGCACAATGGAATTCGTTGAAGCTTACACCTTCCAGCCTACTTATTAATTAGCCCACTTTGTCTCTGCCCCAAAAAAGTTTTAAGACATACATGTACAGAATCCAGAATAACTATCTTCCACTGACTGTGTTATGCAACTTTGTAATCCTTTTGCTTTAGTTAACCCCTTCTGGCCCCTGTACCTTCCCAATCTTAAAGTAGTTGATATCCTTAACCCTCTGAGCCCAGAGATCAGACAAGCTCAATATATCACTGAAGAGCAAGCCCTCAAGGACCTCACAATTCACAGATATTAGCTGGGTTAACAGAATCCCAGTGGTTAAATTATTCATTTATCTATTTCAGTGCTCGTGTTTTGTTTTACAACGACTGTGACCTTACCACAATAATGGCTGGGGCAGCGCTGGCAATTTTTTTTTTCGCTTAGCCAAATCATCACTTTTTTGTCAATTTGTTATCCAAATGGTTATAATCTGACTAAAACAAGTCAAATCAAGCCCTTTTTGTTCAGCCAATTTTAGTCAGTTTTAGCATTTGGCTTAAGACTTTTTTTAAGCTGAAACCCTGGATTTGGATAAGACTGGATAAAATATCTCACTGTATATTATTATTATTATTATTACTGTGTAAACCACTTATCCTTAAAGGCATTATCATATGTAGTCGTCCATGTCTGTAGACTGATCATACCATGTACTTTCTAGTTCATATTCATAACGTTTTCTTCTTGTTATAAGGCCCCCTTTTTAGGGCCCCAATTCACACTCCCCCTAGGCAGGAGACTGCTAACAAGGCCGTAGCTGCTAATGAGTCATGGTAGAAGTGTCGCCTGCCTAATGCAGCTCAAGCTGACGTGAGAAAACACCTAATACTGTCAGCATATCAAATTCACTATGTTCAATGCCCAGATATCACATTTTGTGAACTGTTTTAACTGACCAGGGACCTACGCCTCAAAGCCCTAGTTAGTTGCTGTTCATGGCCTAATTAGTTTTGCATCTGAAACAGTATTTTATATGAGCTACCATAACCTGGAACAAGGCAGTCCTTCTCTGACAAAGAGTACATGTATGAGCACTGTTTTCCTGCTGTAGCTGCAAAGCCTTTGTGTACAAAGCAAAGAGATGTCGTCATTTTTCAGACGTCTTATATCTTTCTAACTTCGATAAGATAGTCAGACATCAACAGTGTTTACCCTCAAGATAGACGAGGTTTGCCTTCAGCATTAATATTTATTTCTTTTTAAAAAGCCATTGTTGCTCATAATTTAAAAAAATCATTTATAAAAGACAGTCCACAAAAGACTAAATCCCATGTAGGCCAGGGACATATGCATTTTATTTTGCAGTTTTTGTATACTGTACTTTTACAAAATCACCAAACAATTATACCAAAATGAAAAATAAAATGCAATAACTTACGCAGGCAGTTAATGACACTATTTTTCTCACATTTATTATAAGAATTCATACACTAGGATTCCATATGATATTCATACACTGGGCCCCTTAAGTTGCCACTGTCAGCTGAATTTTTTTCAACTTTACTTTTAATGTAAATCATCTTATTGTGAAATGCATATCACCATCCAGTACACAAGACAAACCATAGTAGAAACACTTATACACAATGCAACTGTTGGTATAACTAAGGTATAGTTCATGCTTTGTAAAATTACTAACAAAGATATAGTACTTATTACATAATAGCCCTCTTCCTACTAGAGTCAAATACCAGGAAGTTAGATATCATGGGATCACATGCCTACTGGGTACTCTGTTTCCGCAGCATACCTATAGATTAACTCTCTATATATAACATTTCAGTATTATCTCCGCCCATCTGTTTGCTCATTAACCCGCAACTAATCAGAGGGGTCAGTGTATTTAATCCTTCCATGTTAGTATGCAGTCTGTACACTCACTGCAGCTTAATCTCTCTTGTTTTGCTTTAGCGATTTAGTTTCTTTGTTCAGGTTGATCATTCAAGGAATATTCATGGGTGTCTGGCGAACTATAGTGTGTCAATTAAGGAATTTTCCTTGTACTAAAAAATATTTCGATTTCTTACTTATCATCAGTATGCTTACATTATAAGACTATATTTTCTTCTTTTGACTCCAATGCTTCACATTCCTTCCTCCAAGTAAAATGGTTACATCATTGTATACAAGGGGTATAAAACGATCTGCCTTCAGACATAAACCCACAAAAATTCCTTGAACTGTTCCTTTACAGGTGAAAAAAGTGTAAATTCTTTAAAAATGAATTTTACCTCTTTCTACCCTTAACCCAAACTATAATTTATAAGTTTAATTCACTATTATATATGCTGCATATGTCTAAATCTCTTAAATCAAGCCACTGTCACTTCCTAAAAATGCACCAAATTACATCCACTGACCTCTGCTACAAGACACAAATGACCAAGCATTGACAATGGCTAATACATAAACATAACCTACTACTACTTCCACTGTACTTGTACTACAGAACCCACCTCCCTCCACAACCCATATAAATTATCTTCCATCAACCTGAGGCCCAAAGTCAGTCTTACTCACTGTATCAGATGAACCAGTCTGCTTCCCATAGGTTTACATGTGCTTGTTATCTCAATGCGTGCACTGCACACTGACCGGCTGACTCTGAACCATGCAGAGTAAACACAGCCTTTCTTCTTCTGTATGCACACAATGAACAAGATGGCTGACCACTCTGTATAAAGCAATTTAATATTCAGGTCAATGCACATGCCCAGTTGGTAATGTATGCGACCTTCATCCGCAAGCCTCTGTGACTCGTGGATAATTTACACCACTTCCAAGTGAGGCTCACAACGGGTTGGAAAGATCGCTTCGCAGGACGGCGATATTATACTATATGTTTTATCGTAAAAAGCAACACAACGCAATTAAGTGCTGCACACACTACGTTAACTCACAACGTTAAGTTATGACGCATGTTAATAAAATAACGATATGAAAGGTAATTAAATACAGATTGCGTACCTTCTTACAACGCATGTTCAAACTAAATGCGGTATGTTTACAATGATTTCAAACCATTCCTTTTTTTCAAAAATATTCAGACAACATCATATTCAGTAAAAAAAATTTTCGCTTAATTACAATTTTGATGAATTTCACCCTGATGCAACTATACTTAAGCTTAGCAAACATGAAAGAGCAGACTGAAGCTAAATATTTTAGTAATATTTTTCATTTGCATGTTCAAATACATATAACATGACATTTCTACACACTCTAAGATCAACAGAACTAAATTTAGCTCCTGAATGTCTGGGATCTGAAAGTACTCAAGCACTCACTACGAGTGGATTACAGCAACAGTGACAATGGGCTTTTTAGTCACGTGAATTTGAACATCTTGCAAAAACTGATCAGATCTTTTTCCTCAATTATTTCGATCAATAAAATATTTTAAAATTACAAAGATCCGAGGGTTAATTTTTGAAAGATTAACTGTACATACTACAAGGTTCATGAATAGTATTATTTGTGTTTTAACAGAAGAACTAATATGTTTCAGTATTCAATAATACCTAATAAAAGGCACGCTAATTTTCAGCGATTGACAAGCACTTCTGTGAAAAGAGCACCATGTATGGTATTATGCCTATCCCCCTTTTTCTTTCTTTCTTTTTTTTTGCATGTAACAACAAATCATAGATAACTGCAATGTAGGTAGTGGTATTTATCTTTAAATTGTCCTATAATGTGCTTGAAGAGCTTATATAAATGAAAATATCACATAAGACAAATAAAAAAAAAATACTGCCTTCATAATTCAAAGTAATTCATCTCATTGGCCTTTCCTTACCATTCCAGAACAGATGCAATCTGTTACCCTTGATCAAATCATTTATTTACGATGGAATATAGCAGTTTTCTTATTTTCAGGGCAAATGGTTAATCAGTTTAAAACAATTCAGTTATACATATAAACATCTTTTTTTTTTCAGTCATTTTTCAAATATAACTAACACAAATTTTTATGCTAAGCAGGCATTTTTTTCAGGGTTAAAATCACAGAATATATCTTTTGGGAATAGGTGTAAATCAATGCCATGACTTGGAAATATACGATGCAAATTTGCCTACAAAATCACCACCAAATTCTTCCAAACTGACACACCTAATTTCATACTATGCCTTTTGCAATCACTTATCACTGCCTGCACATGAGCACACTAGCTTCAGCATACTATACAGGCCATGTGTCTCAAACTGCTAGTAACATTGACAGCGTACAGAACAATGTTCAGATAGGCCAGTTCACTTACCCTAGGCCTGAAGCTTTTCAAGAAGTCCCCAAGTATTTGCAACTGCACATGCTCAGAAAACCCAAATGTATGAACTCTAATCAGCTACAAAGTGAAAGGTCATTGCACATGCTCAGTATGATGTATGCCTGACTTGCAACCTGACATCCATGTCTACAGGGGTACAGAAGGGGGAACTTTCCGTTATTCTAACTTAACAATCAATTTTTCTGCTTTAAAGTAACTTCATACTTTAAAATGTCTTGCATGCGTAAAATAGTCGCTCTATCAAAATAATCGCAAAAGGCAATTCATATCAAGGAAAATCAATAAGTTCCTACGTCGCTTTCTGATTATCACGTAATATTGAACTTTGTGGTCAAGCAAAAACAGTACGGTACTACCCCTTGCTGCAGATTAGCTCATGCAATTACAACATGTCATAGGAAAAACCAATTTCGAAGTCAATTTTTATAAAAACATACTTATAATATTGACAGAGACATGCTATAATTAGTATTCAATTAGTTAATTGCACTGACATCTTTCTATAATTAACATAATTACTGATTGTCATTTTCATATTTTCATTATTTGAATAACTTCTGCTTTATATTACAGTTGGATCACTGCTGCTTACTCTGACTTTTAATCACAACGTATCATAAGGCACTTCTTCATATTGCAAAATGTGGTTTTATTCATATCTTTTGAACTGCTTTGAAGTATTAGACTAAAAATGACACATGTCTCCCTAAAATTCGATTTTCCCCTATCGAATAAAAAAATACTATGGAAATTCATTTGTTATCAATCTGGCTTTAAGCTGGACTAGCGCAGATGAAAGAAAATGTCGCTTTGAAACAAACAAAAAAATACCCATGCCAAGTACTGGATCCTTGATTGCAACAGACGACCGACAACCAACTAATTCCATCAATTTTTTTTTTCACAAAAAATGATCCAGTATTCAATAGAAAAACTCTCGGAACTGAAAAATAATTATCTTTCATTTCCAAGAGTTTTTCCACTGAATTTGTGTACATGGTCTATCAAGGGTTTTCCCAGGGAACCCTTCATCCGCCATTTGGCATCATTGGACAGCCAACATTTTCAAAGACAGCTGGATGGCTTATGAATTTATTTTGAAAAGTGATGCTTGCACTCCCTGAAATTTTGTATGAAATTACGGGTGATAATTTTGGACAGCCTGTACCCCAAATCCTGAGAAAAGCCCCGTGGTCAACATATTGGTCACATTCACAACCAAAGGTCATTCGTGGACTAATAGATCCATGGTTCAAATATGGCCTACCCACTTGAAAGTTGACAGCGTAATCCCTGCTGGAATCTATTCAGTGTCTTTTAGGGGGATTGTGCGGCAAGGTTTCAAGTGGGTCGCCAATGTTTGATCCACAGATCTGTTTGTCTGCGGATCAACTTGTCCTGAATGTGTCCATTAATATTTAAAGTAAGAAAATAAGTGAAGAGTCGAGACTGTCATGGCTTCAACTGTGAGGCGCACACAAAATACCCACCATTACTGGTAATATATTCTTGGCGTCATATATGCATAGACCCTTAGCAGTAAGCTGGATCAATAATGCATCGATAAAATGTATTTTTTCACTGCAAATTATAAATCATTACAAAAAGGAAAATTTAACATTTTAACGTACAAATAAAAAAGGTTGTTCATTGCATATAAACACCGCACTGTGTATAGGTGAGACTTTTGGGGGGTTTATATTACAATACAATGAATGAACAAAAACAAGTCGCGTTTGCACAGATTGAACAATTGCAGCACATTTTTGAGAATTATAACCTTAAACATCTCAGTACTAAACAAAAAGTTTTACAGAAATGGATGCCTATCTTGTATTTATCTCTTACCAAGAAAAAAGTATCTGTTAATAAAATACATAATTACATATACTCACATCAGTTGAATAATCACTTTCCTGCACTGCAGGTGAATTGGGAAACAAGCAAAGGAGGAATTTCTCTGAAAAAGAAAGAGGAATTTTCTTTAAGATGGCTGACACTGCTGTAGTTTCTCCCTGTCTTTCTAATATTTAGGTCAGATGAATGGCTGGCTCTTAACGGTCCAATTTCAAGGGGTTCTGAAAGGGGGTCCACTTAGCAATGTTCGCAGTCCTTTAATATGCCACTGCACAGCGAAGTGCCAGCGTTGTGCACCTAACACTTTCAGTCCAATTTTCACATGCTACAAAAAGGGTAAATGTAGCGTTTATTTTTACAGGATAGGTACATGTCGTCGCCCTTTTGCCTTACAATTGAAAACGCTGAATGAAAATCGAAAAAAAAAGTGTATTCTTTTAGAGGAATATTTCAGGAATGATGTCATAAAAATGTCACCGTAAAAACCTTCCTTTGCTAGTGTCAAGCTTTTTATTCGCTTCTTTGTAAAAAGTCAGAATGTAACAAACAAGACAGGCAACATTCAAAGTGCAGAAAACACTGAACTCCTCAGCTACAAAGGAAAAAAATAGATCATTGCAATATTTCTAAATAATTCTTACATAAAAAAGTATCTTTACAGCTTCAAAACATCAAAGGCTACTTATTCCAGCGCCCAAATTTAAGTGTAAAATAAATCAATAAAGAACCTCTCTCAAAATACTGAATTCATAAATTTTGATTTGGGCATAAAGCATTCTACTGAAACAGAGATATTGCATTTTTTAAATCAATCTAGGCTGCACTGTATCTTGCCCTTTAAGGAATTGGATTTATAGCTTTCTGATGAAGCAAAACTTGGAGCACGCATTTTCTTCCTAAACAAACTCAACCATACCGTCAATTGCGTAGCTCGCCGCTACTGCTATTTGTTCAGGAGACTTGATCAATAAAAAACCAGACATCTGGAAAATACATACTTCTTATGCAGACAATGGCTGCCGCTGATCCTTGAACCTTCCGCCTGGATTGCATTGTGCTCTATTTTCTATATGTCTGGTTTTATCAAACAGCTCAGGTGCTATGTTAAATTGCAAACCATGTGACATCACTGAATGATTTTTGATTAGGTGATTAAATGTGTGCAAATTGGCATTTTGTAACTGGGTCAGACAGACAGATTCTTGAGTACGGCTTGCATTACGGTCTTGGCAACTTTCCTGCATATTTTAAGTCACTCAGTACAAACATTTCATTGTGCTTACTTCAGTCTCAGACAAATACTAGTAATATTTTAGTTAACCTACTTTAAGACTGACCAATAAAGATAATTTCACTAAAAGAATTTCCTTTTAACCAAACCTGAAATTCGATCAACGATGACACGACAGTATCAAGGTCTTCTACAACAAATTCACTAAAATCACTTTAAATTATAAAATATAATTTAGATTTTTTTACTTTGGAAATGGTCAGCGGCAAACCTTAAATTTCGATCAACGAAACGGCAGTGCCAACTATCTTCTCCAACAAATTCACTAAAATCACTTTCAATTACCAGGAAATAATTTAGATTTTTTACTTTGGGAATGGTCTGAAGCTTGATAGCCTATGTATCCTATTTGTTCTCTAGAGATAAATACTTATATGCCCCATTCATAACCAGTCGATCCCTAGACTAACGGATCCTGGGATCGAATATAGCTCACCCACTTGAAAGTTTGCTGCATAATCTCCTGAAAGGACAGTGAATAGATTCCCCATTGGGAGAATGCAGCAAGCTTTAACGTGGGTCAGCCATATTTGACCGGCAGATCTGTTAGTCCGCAGATCAACTTTGGTTGTGACTGGGGCCATACTTGACCCACTCTGAGAAGTAATTTAATTTTTAAAAAGTAAATCTGTATCAAGGTTAGTAGGTATAAGATTTCAAGGTTATCGGTTTCTACTAGTTTCTTATACAACTCATGAATTATACAACTCATGAGGGTTACACCGAAAGAAAGCAGAAAATATCCATTTAAATAAAATTTTTAGAAAATAAGATGGCCTTTGGTATTTCTTGAACTGTTTAAAACTATGCTGGTATTTGGTTGTCTGATGGCAAAAAAATTGACTTCAAATGCACAGGGATAAGACTTTTTGGCTCTCAAAAGGTGGAAAATCTGCAAATAATCCTGGAATTTTCAAAATTTCTTATGCATTTGTATGTCATTGCAAAGTGACGCTGTTGCCTTTAAATTAACAAGTGAACTATTACAAGTTCAGTGTGTATAGTTAACAATGAGGTATATCAGGATGAATGTACATCTACAGTGTGTACATGTTGTCACAGAGTGATATTTATCTGTGTAAGTACAGTCAGGGCAGATGTTAATCAAACATAACAAGAACTTTATTTATTTATTTATTTATTTATTTATTGTTATTTCTTTAATTTTTGATCGTTTCAGATTCTTGGTACTCTGACAATTCAATCCACACCAATCATTTATCACTGAATAAAGGTTTGTGAAATGATGTCATCATCTTCTATCAAATGCACACAAACTCAACAATGAAATCCTAAAAAAGTATTTTCTCAAATATATATATTGCATACAGATAAAAGACAGAGACATCCAGACAAAACTTTTTTGTTAAAAAATTCCACATCTGTTCAGTCTGCACATGAGCCGTCTACATACACAACTTCACAAGCTGTACAAACATCCATGGGCACATTTTCCTTGAAAACATGAAGAGAATAAAATGCAATCTAATGCCAGAAATAAGGGGGCGATACAATTCACACACACACACACACACACACACACACACACACACACACACTTTTACTGACAAAGAAACTGCAAATCAAAGAAGTAATTTCTAAACTCTGTTTAAATCAAGGTAATGTTCATTCGTTCAAAACTTTTTGTATTGATCGATGCTTACACGAGAGTAAGTCTCGTCTTCCGACTTAAAAACACGGGATAATAATTCAAAACTGTATGATCCTCACCTTTAGTCTGCGTTAGCACAAATAAAACTACAACTGGGATGATCGAAAAGTTGTAGTGATGTTATCACGACTGACTTCTGAAGTTCTGGAGCATTTTAGAGTTGGCCGCTCTGTGCAGGCGTGACTACCGTGAAATCTCGCATGCGTTACATTTCATTTCCGGTTACATCCTGCGACGTGCGAACATGTGGTGACTGTCGATAGTAAGTTTTGCTTTTGGACTTGTAGAGCAAAGAAGCACATATACAGATAGTCAGGTGAACTGTGCGGAATCGTTTTTTTTTTACGAGCACAATGCTTGTGGCCTTCACAACGCTAAAATGAGAAATTTGTCAAACTGGTATGTACAGTACGTACAGTGTATGCGCTTTTGCTTAGCGGTAACTTAATTTTGAAGCCCCCTCTGTTTCTTTGATTTTCATTTAAACATTTTTTTAATTGAGTTAAATGGTGACTTTGAGCAACGTTTCCTGCTATCAACTTACATTTACAAAATGGAGGGACGCATAAATAGGTCAAATTTAAGACCAGTTTTTGGCTGACCGAGTTAATCCAATCGTGACAAACTTTACCCCTTCTTCAACAGATTTCATTTTACATATTCCTAATATTTCAGACCACTTCAAATTAGCATTTTATGATGGCAGTACATTGGTCAACTAGAGCAGCAGCATCCAGAATTCTACAGGGCACTCTTGGATCAGCAGCAACGAGACATGAAGAGAGTAAAATGATGCCACATGCCAGGGTCCAGCCAAAAGAAATATCAGATCTTCTTCCAAGAAAGGGGTTTAAGGCAACACATGTGGACGAATTCAAAAGTAAAAACACAGTTGTTAGAGCTGCTTTGAACAATTTGAACAGAAGAGAGACCAAGAATGACGGATACTCCTGGATAGAACAATGGCTTTGGGATACCTCTGCCATAAATCCTGCTATGGATTCTGTAACAGTTCTTATTTCATCTATGAAAACCCACCCAAAACAACAAAACAAGACTAAGGCATGCAGTGATACACTTCAAGAAAAACCCGTGCGAAGAGTGATGCAGTTAAAAAGTGGTTTTTGCCACATTGGTAGGACTAGCAATAAACTCTGTATGAGTACACAAAGAACTCTTGTGGATGGGATGCGTTCCATCTGTTCCGTCTCAGGACCAAATGGTGACTCTTGCTTAAGGAATGAACATTTTGCAGGTACAGTGGGCTTGTTTTAATAGCCTTAGAGACCATTCCCAGAAACTATCGTACTAACTTCAGACATGCTGAAACTGTTATCAACTTCAGCGACTTAGATGTCTTGCATTTTCATTGAAGCTGTTGGAGGGTAATTAACTATCGTTTAGCGGCCTCAGTAGGTATGCCAGACATCTAAGCCATTTAAGCTAAAAGCAATATAGCGAGAAACCCCTTGGGAGATGGGTCGATCCAGTTAGATCAATCTAGGCATGGGAACCCAGTCTTAGTGATTGTAAAGCACCATTTTATCTGACACTGTTTTCAAAATAACTCTAGCAAAAAGACAATATGCTATCCTTGGTAATTAAAATGGTGGCTTGCGGTTAAGATGGGAAGTTGATGCAATTCCTTAATTAACCCGTCTACCTGCTCAACTGGGCAAATCACATTACTTGTGAATTGTAATTTGTATACCACTTGATGGCAAGCCAATTATTTTATTCCTAGAATTAGTCTGAAGTCTCTATTGCTAGAGTCATCTTGAGTAGTGCTACTAAGACCCACAATCCTCGGCCAGACTTTACTTAGATTGGATTAATGATTGTAGTTCACACACAAAAAATAAGGAAGTATTTCCACCTAATTTGTCCATCAGCAGTGAGACTGAAGAATTATTTTATTCATTGTATGCATTCCAGAATTTATAGCTGAGAAGATAGTAGAGAGCCAGCTGGTGGACCTGGACAAAACTCTGGTTTTAGATTGTGATCAAGGTATGCAAGTGAAAAATTTGACTGTATGGATAAATGGCCTCCCAGCAACATTTTCCCTACTGTTATTAGAGGAAACTGCCTTGATAGATATTAAATAAAGTATTGTTGAGCACCCCACCCCTTGTCATTAAATGTAAATAAACTGATTCTGAGCAAAACTATATATTTAGCATAACTCAAGAAAGTTAATCTACTCTGTTGCTAAATTTATAAATAAACGGAATATGTACACAATATGACTTGTTGTTGGCAATAGATAAGCACATGTTTGTGAGTGAAATTGGTATCATGAATTGTCTATATTGATTTTCTAAGAATAGAAAACTATTTACAGGGCATGGTCTCTTGAGTAGAAATCTGTTGAAGAAAGGGGTAGGCAGGGTTCATGGGTTAGTTCAGAAGTCTGCTGATTGTTCAGAACTGCAGGTGATTAAATTGAATTATCTTATTATCATTATAAGCAATTAATGAAAATGTCACAATACTTTAAAAACTTAATCATTCTTATCATCATCATCATAATTATTATTATTATTATTAGCCAATGTTATAATTAATTCTTCAAGAAACCGAGTATGTGTGGAAAACAGTTAATGGTTATAAATGTTTTTACTTGCAGACAGGGATGAGGCAACGTCGTGCATTTTACTATTTTATTTTCAGTTGCTAAAAAGTGAGAATAGTAGATATGACTTTACAGAGAATGTGGTAGTCAACAGCGTAAAAGGAAAATCAATATTGCACTGCTTTGAAGATTTTAAAGAGAGGACGTGGACTGACGGTGGGCAGTGTGATATTAACAGTTAAACACACATGTCTAATACACTGCTGTATCCAAATCACTGTCACACCTAACACACTCTGCATCTAAATCACTGTCACACCTAACACACTCTGCATCTAAATCACTGTCACACCTAACACACACTGCATCTAAAACACTGTCACACCTAACACACCGCTGTATCCAAAACACTGTCACACCTATAATAACTACAAACAACTTTCAGTGAAGATTGAAACTGATTGTAATTGTGTATAGCTAAGTATATGCAATTGTTTGATAAACATTTGAAGAGTAACTAGTTTTAATGGTTTAAGGTGATTGATGAAAATCAATTTTGTTTAGTATAAGGATTGTGTAGCTTATTTATTATTTTAACAAAGTTGCAATAAGTCATTCTTGAATGAGGATGGAAAGTTTTGCTGCCTGTTATAAACTTTTATAATTTTCTTGCTAGGTTTAGTGATCTACTGGGGTGTTAAGAATAAAACAATGATTACAAAAATGCTCCTTAAATTTTGATTTCTGATAAAAACTAGTCATTGTAAGGAAATGAAATTTGATTAATATATACTACCAAATGATATTCTCTCTTGCAAAGAAAAAAGTTATTACACAATAACTTAAACAGTAGCCATGTATTTCAGATCCAGCATGGAGTTTGTTCTTGGGAGTGCTGAAAGGGCGGCCTATGTTGTTTCACCTTCCTCATAGCCTTTTGAACCAGGGATGGATGTTCTCATTTGGAAGGCCGCAGATATTTATACTTTTACGTAAAAAAGATTTGGAGGTATGAGATCAAAATCTGGATTCAGGGTCATTCAGTAGTGTTTTCCCCTTAGTTACCCTCCCCCTAGGATTTATCCTTCTGTTTCAACTTTTATCCCTACGCAATAGTTTTGCCACTTGTTTTTGAACTATTTATATATCATCTGTCAAATTGCATTTGTGTATTTTAACTTTGTGTTTGTAAAGAATATACACAGACAAAATATTTGTGGACAGATAATTTATTACAGAGAGGAAAATGCTGTGGAATACAGCAGTTTGGTGTGAAAGATATGACTGAAATTTGATTTTCATTTCAAAATGTAACTGATTGAGGTGCATGGAAGTGGCTCATAAATAAGTTTTATTAAATAATCTAATAATTTTTGTCTTTTTTAAACAAAACAAGTTAAAAGACTATTTGACCCTTTCATGGAGATTTTGTAGTGCATGCAAAAAACTTTTTACTGTCCCACACTCCCTTTCTTATTTGAGTCATAATTTGGTGAAAGTATTCCATCAGATTTGCCAGGTAATGATACTTGTGACAGTTTTTTATTCAGCAAGTAAAATTTGAAATAGGAACTATGAAGCCAGCTCTCCCTGTATTTGTCCTTTCTGGTTAATGAATGTGACTGTATATTATGATGTGATATTTTAAACAGCACATTTTTCTTTGTATTTCAGATCCTAGATTTATCATTTTTCCAAAAAAACCTCCGTATTTATTCTAAGAGTGCAGTTTTACTTGGCTTACTTTTTGACCATGAAATTATAACACAGGTGAGATTTCATTAATTTTGGATCTAATGTCTTCTGTTTATGGTGCATATTTTTTATAAATATATAATTGATTTTTCACTCATATTCTAGTTGCTAGAGATAAGAGGGTTGTGTATAAGTAACCATGTCTCCTTGTATTTAACTAAATGCATGTTGATATTGTCATTACCTCCGCCAAGGAGGTTATGTTTTCACCCCTGTTTGTCTGTCATCAACATAACTCAAAAAGTTATGGACCGATTTTGATGAAAATTTCAGGAACTGTCAGAAGTGGGCCAAGGAAGAGATGATTAGTTTTTGGTGGTGATCAGGGTCAATAACCAATCAATAATCAATAATAATAAAAAATAGCTGCCTTTGTGGAGGACTGCGCTCTTGGAGTGCTTTTCTGGTTAAATAATAATCTCACTTTTTTTCCAAAATATTAAAGATATCTCATCATGTTATTTATTTATTATAATTTTATTATTATTTTTTGACAGGTTCCTGTCAGTTATATGCAGACAGAAGGAAACCTGAACCCACTAGAAAAAATAGATGATGATGTAAGTTTATCTTTTTGAATAGGTTTTCTTTTAATGTTGGAAGGCAGTAATAGTCTCTGTTAGGAGGACTTAAGAATTACTTTCCTTTATCCCCAGTATTTATTTCCCCTCTGTTACATCTTATTTCATCACTGCGTTATTACTGCTTGTGAAAAGGGATTAAGAAAGGCAGTGACGCCTCATTTTGATTACTTAGAAGTGACAATTAGCTACATTGAGGAGGGGGGGGGGGCATGAACAATGTGAGGAAGTTCTGACGAATTGCCATATTTATATTTTGAGCTTATGTAAGTGACTGTTTTGTTTTGTGTGGTCTAGTAAGGTTATACATGTTCCCATTTTTTTCGGTCAGTGGCAGTTTTATCACTCCTGCATTTTTTGTGATTAATTAAGGAAGTAGGCACCAGTTGTAAGCAGGAAGATGCCCTAAACCTGGTGAAATTTGTGCCAAAGAAACAGCTTCATTCCGAGGTGTGCACAGAGGAGCATTTCCTGGAGCTAGAGTTCTTTTTCCTGGAGCTTCTATCCAAGCCACGCTTGCCACTAGTATCCAAGATAGGGTATGGATAATGTTACCTTAAAAAAGATCAAATAAGTTATTGGATTTAGTAGTATGTAGGCTAATTGCTTTAGTAATTGCTTTAGTATTTTGCATGATTGCAATATGAATTAAAAATCCTGTTAATGGTTTCATTTAAGTGTGTGCACTTGTGTATTTTTGTGTATAATTCTATTTTTCATCACATCTAGACAACATGAAAATGCTTTTTCATTGTTGTCTTTTATGTTTATAAATGCAAACTGTAATGCCTTCTTTGTTGTGGAAGGTAGAATTTCTTTGTCTTGACTTTGAAATGTATACAACTCAATGAGTAAAACAAAAAAAAATCCTTCCAGATTGATGAATGCAGAGTTTGGTTTTGAGCTGGTCAAGAGAGGTTACTTCATGAACAAGACCATTGGCCAGTGCTCTCCTCTGGAACTGCTGGACTTATTCAAAGTATGTATCTATTTAAGTTAATTGGTACAGAATATTGAATAAGAAAATTAAGAAATAAGGTATTTAACAGATCGATGTGATCATTTATCTTCAACTTCCATCGTGAATTTTGAAACAAATAACAAATCTTTCTGAACAGTTTGAAAAGTGACTTGCGTAATAAATGAATTTACTTTTACTTTGTGTACTTTTATAACAGCTATTTTATATTTAGATTATTGAAGTTAATGAAGTATTAAAACTATGAAACCAAGAGGTGCAAATCACATATTAACAAATTTTCACTTTCTATGTAACAGTTACTCCTCTCCAGTCCAGCTTATGAACACTTAGGATTGCTTCCTAAAAATAAACCTGTACAGGAACAGTCTGCAGAAGTACCGTCACCTGCAGAAGTGCCATCACCTGCGGATGCAAAAGCTTAATTGCGAATAGATGAGTGAAAGGCTAGAAGCTGGAAAACAGAGGATGTGGAAGCAGAAAGAAATTTTGATGAGAAGGTTCTTTTGGAGGAATCATCATGGAAGGAATCTGTGAAGCATGTAATGATGAGAGAGGAATGACAGTTTGTGGTCAGAGCACACTGACAAAATTTAATACTGCTTCAAATACAGCATCTTCTGAATTGACACAGCAAGAGGTAAAAAAACTATTAGGAAAACAGAAAGCAAGATTTTTTTTTTTTTTGTTAGCTCAGACTAAAACAGAATTGATGTCAGATATTACAAAGAACCCCAGTTTGAATGGTAATGGTGAGTGAATGTAGATTTTGTGGTTCATTTACTTGAGCATGATATCTTTACATTTTATTGAATTCTTGCATTATTATTATTATCAGATAGCTAAGATATTTCGTTTATATGTTATATAAAATTTCATTAAGAAACAAAGGGAGTGAACTGACAAGCATCTAATACATCTTAATCATTTCATCTTCACATAATACAACTGCTTTCTTTAAGGATGTTAAGTTTCCATTATACCCTGTATATTCACAACTTTCGGAAACTGCCGATAGAAAAGATGGAAGTTTAGGGAGTTGTCAACCTTGATAAAAGGATAAAGATAGCATAATATGACCATTACTGATATTTTGATAAAGGTATAAATTATTTGCTTATTTATTTAAGTTTTCCAAAGGCTATTCCATCAAAATTGTGGGAGTGGGATGGGACCCTTTCCACATTCATTCAATATACATTGCTATTGCTACTGTGGGATACAGCAAATTTGCAGGCGTTACTCTTGCACGTTAAGTTCTTTGGTAATTTTAGTCCAAACTGCCTGTCCCACCAGTCATGACTGCTTGTAATGCCAGGGGCAAGATTTTTGATACCGCATGTCCATATGTAAAAATACAATACCCATCCTATGGTATCCAAATCCCGTGACAGCATTGCTTTGTTTAGACCTGCACAGAATTGGGAGAACTTGCAGATTTCTTGTTGGTGAATATGATCATAATATAAGTTTTTCACTTTTTACAAAAAACGTTGCCACTTGAATCATTGCAACAGACGTTACGAAAGACCAAAAAATCTGTCAGACATTCGGTCTGACAAGCTTGAAAATTCTGTCAGACCGAAACAAAATCTGTCAGACCGAAGTAAAATAATAGAAATATGAACCATTATTCATCTTTTCATGTGTATTTTCTAACGTTTTAAATCACTGACATTAAATCAAATATTAAATTTTTGATATATATTTATTTGTAAAAAAGTAAAATAAGAAAGAAAAACAAAACAAAAAAAAATAGGCATAAAATTACTTGCATAACAAGTTGTTTTTTATTTAATGAAAAAGACGCTGTGGAATGACACAAGGACTAAAGTCAATACAAGTATGAAGAATGTGTAGCTAGTAATATCAAATGTATGTCCATAATAACGTCTGTTAATCAGATAACCATTTCACACGTTGTTTTTGGCAATAACATATGCATTTTGAAACAGCACAGTAAGGCAGTCTCTTTCATCCAATTGAAGCTTTGACAGGGACTGTCCAGTCCGAGTCTAAGCTCCTTCTTCATTTTATTTCTTTTTTTATCAAAAGAAACTCAAACTGTGAGCTTTCATCAAATTCATGCGCACTTTCTCCAACTCGTGGTGAACGGTACATGCAAATACGTACATATGTTCCATAATTTAAGAACCCGTAATAAAGCTGTAACATTTATGTTGCTATTGATCAAAATGATAACTTCAGTACTCCTGACACTCGGCACACACTATTTTCCTCTCCTACAGATCACAAGTCCGCCAGGGCCTACCTTCTTTCCAATTTTATTAAACTTCCGTTTCTCTTCCTCACTTCGTTTTCATTTTTGCCATGCTTTGCACCAACGAAGTGTTTAAAGTTCAACAACGTCATTTCTAAGCAAAAGGCTTATCCATGAGTACTGTGTACGACTGCTAATGAAGAAACAGAGGATCAAGTCTGTAAAAACGCAAATAGCACGAGCACATGTGTTGCGGCCATTTTGTTGTGTAGGGGTATTACGAAAACGAAAACGAGACTGTACATTACATCATTCAGGAATCCCCCAACCACAGCCAGTCACAAAATAGTATTTGAGTGAAACTGAGGTTAATAAATTATGTATAATTAGCTGGGAACTCCCCGAGATTTTCACCCCATCTCTCTTTTCGAATGAAGTAAAATATATCATCCAGAAAAGAAACAACAACCTTTTCCTAATATTTACACATTCCTGTCAGTTTGAAAATTCGCCGGACATAAGGTCCGACGATACAGGATTTTTTATCGGACCGAGACGAAATTTGCCAGGCATGTCCGACGGTCCGACGCCTTTCGTAAAGTCTGTTGCAAATCGGTCACTAGAAGTCACCTTTCCATGAGTCCTGAATTGTTCTCTTTTGTTTGGTTGTCGTAATCTTTCTTATTTTGATTTCTTTCCTCAATTGTTTTTCTTTTGTTAACTTCTCTGTCGGACTTGATAAGAAGAAATTTTTCCATTTTTGATGGCCCAAGATGAAAGCACGCGGGGAAAAAACTACACTTGACGCACGGCGTAAACTCGTATGTTTACTCATAATTTTGGGACTCAAGAACACTGGATATGTCAAAATAATGAAGCTGTTCAAATCTTACTTGTCATAGATGATACTGTGGAATTTATAAATGCAAACAGTTTCAAAGGGATTTCTGGAGTAATGCAAACAATTTGAAAGGGTTTTCTAGAGTATCTCTTTCCTCCTCTGCTTCCCTTGAGAGCCATGTTGTTTCAGACAATGTCAATTGTCCACTAATGGAAAATGTTGCAGACTTTTAACCCCCACAAGTTTGCTTGCCCATTTAAATCGTACCTTATACCCCCTTTACACTGGACGGCGTCCTAGCTGCGACCATGAAATTTGGCATCGCTGTGGTCTAAATAAGGTGGCACGAGCATTGATTTTGTATCAGAATGAATGCTCAATGATCGGCCAGTTGTCGGCACGTAAAGTATTGTAATTTTTAACTCTCAAATGGGGTCGTACTGCTGGACGCAGAAAGGACGCCGTCCAGTGTAAAGGGGCCCTTATCAAATGTTATATGTTTTTCTGTGTCCATCTCATCCAACTGATGATTGCCAAGTGCGATGTGTTTTGTCAAATCCTCATCATGGTTGTAATTGGGCCTGAGTAATAAAGGGCTGTAAATATTCTGGGGTTGTAGCCCCTGCACCACTTTTCCTTAAATTGTCTTTAATTTTTTTAATATTTTTGTTTTATATGTTATATAAAATTTCATTAAGAAACAAGGGGAGTGAACTGACAAGTATCTAATACATCTTAATCATTTCATCTTCACATAATACTACAACTGCTTTCTTTAAGGATGTTAATTTTCCATTATACCCTGTATATTCACAACTTTCGGAAACTGCCGATAGAAAAGATGGATGTTTAGGGAGTTGTCAATCTTGATTTAATTTTTTTATTTTCACCCTGCAGCACTCTGCGTCCTTCATGATGTTGTACTTCTGTAAATATAAGTATGGAGAATGAATTAATTAAAGCGAATACCACACAGTGATACAATACAGAATATAAAAATAGAACTCAAAAGCTTATCAACTACTTATTGCAAATGCCAAGTGAAACCGGAGTTAAATCACCTCTGAGGGTTGTAATGTACTTACGTCTTTAATTCTTTGGATATCGCCTCGTAACATGTTTGTTTCCATGGCTTGAAAATCCTTTTTGATGTACAGGCTTCCCCCAATCTTCAAGCAAACTCCAAACTTCTGTATCTAGCCACTCTTTCCCCATCTTGGAAATGTTTCCTGCCATGTACCCCGCCAGTATGCTACCACCAAGAAATTAGTCCCTAAAACTACATAAATGTATGTACGTAAATGTTTAATCATGCACTGTTCTTTGGACAAGAAAACTTAAAGCTTCTTGAGCTGGAGCTCTCCAACCTTTGGTGCCAACAGGGACAGAAAGAACTGAAAAGCCATGTTTTAAGACAATCCAAGTGGGCCCTTGAACTTTGGCATACCAAGAAGAGAATCTTTGAGAGTGACTTTGTCCTCACCATTATTGTATGCTTTCCAGCATGTGACACCATCTTCAGAAAAATGAAAATTTTTTAAACTTGTCACTCCACCCCATGTGTGCTTGGTCAGAGACTGCTGACGCAGGTTCAGCTCTGCAAGGCCATCTGCACAGCCCTTTATGCCAATAGAGGAATCACAGGCGGAGTACATATCCTCTGCTGTAAGGACATCAGGCCTTCATTAATATATCTTCTGATATAAGACTTCTTTCTGCCACAGGTGTCTTTCCAGCTTGTGCCTCACTAAAATCATACCACCTTATTTTTATTCCACTTCTGACTACAAAGGAGCACAGTTGTTAGCATCTTTCTGCTCTTTTGATTGTAAGGCAAAGTTTACTTCAGGTATCAGTATTTATTCCCTCTGATCAATCAGAGAAGAAGAGTCTCTCTAAATCTATTTTTCTTACCTGTCTACTACTACATGTACTGGAAGCAGAAGAAGCTCTGTCTCTGTCCAGTGGCAGTGATCGTGCTGCTGGACAGGATCACGAAAAAAGACGTCTGTGTTCATTGATCAGTGTGTCCGAGGTGCTCGCCCTTTCCTCCTGCTGGCCATTATCGGTTGTTACAATAGCAGCTCTGCCTGTTGTGGACGTGTTGGTGGTGGTGGTGGTTGACGTCGCTGCTGATGCTGGCCTGCTATCAATATATTGCTGCCACATCGTATTGGCACGAGCAAGTAGTTGCCCTATTTCTCTTGGAATGTCCTCTGCCATATCTAATTTCAGTATGATATGATGGAACGCAATCCTACTATAATATACTTAACTATATCATGACAATACGAACATGATGAACCACATGTACTCGCATAATATACGGAATTGAAAACATGGAAGAGGTCAAGGACGTTTCAGATCGCTGACGGTGCCCACGCGCCATCTGGTGTTAAGTCCGCTAATGACCGTTTGCAGTAACTATTTGTTGAGTTGCGGTAACTGACTTTTGAATGGTTTATTGATTGTTAGATTTTGACGAATGATTAAAATGACCAAAACTAATTTATTATAATTAAGTTTAGATAGTTAAAGTAGGTTTTGGCTGTTAAATAGTGCCGATAGATTGTTGAATTGACGTCTGCATTTTTTGCGTGAATGGCGTTCCAAACTTTACACTTTGCCATAAACAATTTTTCTGGTGACACAGAGTGGTCCACTAAAGCTGTCGTGTAGATTTTCTGCACATATCCATCTTGAAAATACCAATAAGCTTTCAGACTTTTGAATGCCCCCACAGATATCTTATCGTATGTCCTACCCTTGCTGTCTATGAGATACGTTTTCAGTTCTTGTATGGAAAAGTCATCAGGTATGTCTGTTAAATTTCTATTCCAAGTACTCACATGAATGTGTTTTCGAAAAAATTCAGGTATTAGAGAGGTTTTGCTATCTCGGCCCGAGAACTAGCCTGCCGAGAACAATACTCGTTCCCGATCTCTGGGCCTACGTGGCCATACAGGGTTTTGCATTCCCGACCCGAGAAATCTGGCAGAATTATTCAGATTTATGCAAATTTTTGGTCACGCGCCAATTATTAAAATATTATTTAAAAAACAACTAAAACCCCTAGGCTGTGCTGCTTTTGAGTGGTATATTTTTGGTCTTTATCTTTTTTTGCAAATAGTGATGAATAGGGCTAAAAATGCTAAAAAGCCTACCCTTATTTGCCATTCCTTCCATGGCCCGTTTTCTAATCACTTCCCCCTGTTTTACAAGTTCACGGTCTTTGTCTTTACTGAGTCCCAAAGATTGGACATTCTCAATCAGCGCTCTGACATCCATCGTCTGGTTCTCGGAATCCATCAACAAGAACGCAAAAACAAGCGCAAAAAGTGATGACGTTATAGGCAATTTCGTCAAATTATCGGCGCGCTGGTTCTTGGACCGGGATGGCGAAACCTCCCTATTACCATGTTACAAATCCTTGAAAATTCAGATCGAAACGAGCACTCGTCAATATGGCGTTCGTCGTGTACACTCCACACTCCATACTTGCCCCTTGAAACTTCAAATCCCGCAAAATCTCGTGTTCTCATGGAGAATTTAGCGGAAGTCACGTGACCGTGGAAAACACTGTAGTGGGCCAAGCAGGTTTGCAATCAAACCATTTGGAGGTAACTACTGATTGGTGTTTTAGAGCATTTGTGCACTTGTGCCCATAAAACACTACTCTTGGGCAATATATGGGGCACACAGTTCCTTCAGTGAACCCATTACAGTTTCTTAATGGTGTCCCTTTTGCATGGGCAACATCTGCAACTGTGCCTGGTCCAACCATGGCTGGTGAAAATTTTCCAATAAATGCCCATGTTCTTCTAGAATAAAGTTCAGCATTTCTTTTGATATCATGGAGAGAGTAGACTTGTGTCTTCCAAACATTAGTTCCAGATCTGCTAGTCCATTTGGATACACCATTTGTCGTAAAAGAATGCACAAGGCATCTGTGCCACTAGCATAAGCATCATTTTCACAAATTATTTTATTAGGAATGCATAGAACACTGACCAGCCACTTGATTTCATCTTTATAAAATCTAAAATTGTTAGGTAATATTTAACTTTTTTTTTTAAACCATAATCCAAAAAAAAAAACACAAAAGTAGCTATCAACCTATTCATGCAGTGCTCAACAACAAAATTCAAACAGCAGTATGTATCATGCTCAACAACAAAATTCAAACAAATATTTAGAAAACCTATACCAACTTGGACTGTTGTTTTGATCAAATTACCTGAAATATAATAGGAAGTACAAACTATAATATACTTTATCAAATATATATATATATATATATATATATATATATATATATACACATATATATATTTTTTTTTTTAATATCCATATATTTTCTCTCTCAAAAATAATATGATTTGTAGCATTTCTTCATTTGATATCTCTTCTTTATAAACATGAATATTGTCAATAATGAAGTCCATCCCCTTTTCTTTCAGAATGTTCTCATTCCAGAGAGTTCCTAGGTAATTTAGAGTTCTTGCTTCATTAAGTGAATTTGGTATCAAATTATGTAGGGCAATATGAAACAAAGATGAGGGATTCTCCATCCATTCTGTTGTCCATTTGATCTCTACATCTAATAAAATTCTATTAATGTTGGTATCATCCATCACCAAGACAAAAAAAATACAAATAATTAAATTCCTTTTATTTCAGCACTGCCGAACATTAAGGAAGTATTTATATACAACTATACCTTAATTAATAAACAAAACATATATCAATATAATCATTCTAAAGCAAAATCTCTTAAATGAGATGGCATTTTAATTTGTCTATCAAATCTTTTTACAATTGGTTTCACCAATTGTGGTTCATTTAACTGAAAATCACTCTCTCTTTCAACAAATTTTCTCAATCTGTCATGATGTACCACCTGGATTTTTCCTTTCTTATCTTTAATTGTATAGAGAGGTGGGGATGCTCTAAGAACATTATATGGTCCTTTATATAAGGGTCTTAGTTTTTTACTTTCTCCCTTTTTATGACTTTCATCCCTCAAATATACCTTCTGACCACAAGTATATTCACTCTCTCTCAACTTTGCATCGTACAATTGTTTTTGACGTTTCTGCACACATTTCAATTTTTCTCTAGCCATTTCATGTGATCTATTTAGGCTTTCACTCAAGTTTCTCAACCATTCATGAGTCTCATATGGTATCAAATTTTCATTCACACAACCTGTTAGTAAGTGTAATGGCATAAAAACTTCTCTCCCTAACATCATCATGTTAGGAGTAAACCCTGTTGATAAGCAACACAAACTCAATCCTGTCGACTGCGCCAATTGTTACGCCTTCGCGGCCGAGTGCCTTATGAAGGTACAAATAACAATGTACTTACTGGTATCTCAGAGTTAAGAGCCAACAAACAGCACAAGGAACACAGCAGCATCAAAGCCAAAAGTCCCAAAAAAGAGACCGATTTATTTCAATTCGGACCTTATATACAAGTTCAGATAGTACACGTTTACCAATCAGAACCAACTATACAGTGAACAGTTTTACCTTTAAGTTACCAATCACGGGAGAGATTCAAACTTGCACACCGGACAACACTTTACTTACAGAGACATCTACCGGTAGCAATATAAAACAATCTCAACTAACACAACACATCATCACAACTGCTCCTCTGGAGAAGGACTGACCATTTTTCTCTTCTTTTCATAGATGTCCTGAGGCCTTTTCATTTCTTTTTTTCCAGGGATGGAACCCTCTCCGAGTCTCGACTATCATGGTGCTCTCTGGGCTCTGACCCTCGGGGTGTTAACTGACTTTTAAATGGATCTGATCATTGTTGCTATTCCTCACTAACTGGATGCTATTACCTCAGTGAGAGTTGCTGTCATCTGCTAATGCAGGATTCCTATTACCTACTGTATAAGTATGATGTACTGCCTTGTATTCTCCTGGACAGTAAACCTTCCAAAGAATAAATAGTTTATTTTAACTGAGCACCACAACCAGCTTCCAAATCCAATCCTTCCTGGTGCAGTCTGTTCCTTAGGTAAACCATCTGCACTGCCCATGCCTAGTCAGCGGTTAGGTTAAAAGGTTGTGGGGAGCTAACCTGCAGTGAAGCGCATCCTCCACTAACTGCATATCTGAATTACCAAACTGCTCTCTAAGTTCTGCTATTCTGAGTATTTGGTCCGCAGTGAGGCCTGGTATCCTTAACAATCCCCTACTTTTTTGTAGAATGCTGTATCTCATCTGTGCATGATCTACGCATGCTGTTCTGCGCGTCATCCTCTCACCTTTAACCCCCAGGCACTTCACAGGCTCCTGTGCTTGCCATACCACCACTTCCCATTTTTTGGATGGAATAGACTTGATGCATAATCCCTGTGCCTGTGTCTTGCTAAGTAAGAGAAGTTTGATATTTGTTCAGCATTTTTTATATTGCTGTGCTGATCATTTGAAGATAGGTATTTTTTTAGAATTTAATTCTTGATTCATTAGTCATTTTATGTTTGGTATCTCTAGCTTGTTATTACTGCCCAAGTTAAGCACAAAGTGTGCAAACAGTTTTCTATTTAAGTTTTCTGATAGTGTGCTCCAGAAAATTACACAGTTATTATGAAGAATGACAATAAATTATTTTTGGGGGCATTTTCCAATTCATTTTTTGTTTGTTTGTTTGTTTGTTTGTTTGTTTGTTTGTTTGTTTAAGAATTGATAATAATAATAATTAAGGTATGCATTTAGTGATTGGCAGGTGTATATATCACCAATTATACTTTGATGTATGAATGTTTTCAGTTTGTATAGGCATGCACAACTGCGTGATCGGTGATGAAGTATTCTGTCCTTTTTTTTACTATCACTTTCATGAATTATAATTACAAGTATTTACTGAAAAAATTGGGGTCAGATTTCAATTAAATGGTAAATGTAAGAAATATCTGTTACACAGTTAAAATATGGTAACAACTTACAAAATTTCCTCACTTAAAAATAAATATTTTAAATGCATAAATCCAACTCTACAATATTAAGTCATTTAGACTGTAAATTTTTTAATCCCGTAATACAGTTTTAAATGTCAATTTTTACTGTTTTGATTTGATAAATGCATTAGATAGTTAAAAAAAAGAATGAAATAAAATCACTTTAAAGACAAACAATCACAAAGACAAATAACACAATGAAATGGACTAGATAGATAATTAAGAAATAGTGTTATTACAAGTACTTGACTGTAGAAAATAATGTGCAGAAATGTATATAATATAAATAATAATGCCCATTGATCTACACATTTGTGAGCACGTACAGGAATGTTGAAAGTATTGAGATTATTATCCAAGTAAACAGCTTTTTCGATTTGATGCATGGAACATAAGAGTGCATCTGCTGGCCGTTAATGAATTCACATGGGCTGGCTTTGAAAATATTTCACAACACTTCAGAAAGTCAAACTCTGCTAGTCTTTTTGTCTCAATTTCCAGACGAGTATTATCATTCATAAAATTTCCTTTTTTGCATTTTTGATCTTATACCATTCTATCATTCTCTTAACATTCTGATCTCTTCTCAAAAGAAAATCCTTTCCTCCGAGAAAAATGGTAGAGAAGTCTGACATGTTAGATTTTTTTATCAATAGTACTTTCTGCTTCAGTGGTTCTAAAGTTGTGCTGCAGTTACAAGTGTCCTTTGTGACAACCTTGATCCTCTTCTTCAGCTGAGGTTTGCTATTATGTCCCATCCAAAATAACATCTGCACATTTTTTAGGATGACTGCAGAGAATGGAACAGAATACCGTTTTGCAACTTTTCCTTGCAAAACTGGAAAATAGAAGAGTGGTACTACAAATAGTTTCTTGGGATATATTTATTTTTGTCTCATTATTGCAGCCTTGCTAAGAGGAAAGCAGTGGTTGGGAGGAGTGATGTCTGAGCCACTAATATATAAGATGTTGGATAATGCAAAATAAGAAAAAAAATGTGGGGGGAAAAAAGTCATAGGCATAAGGGCAAGAGAGTTATAGTTTTGGCAAGCAGTGATGACTATCATTAGATTACCATTATGGAAAAAATAAAAAGATGAATAACCAGATTTTGGATAAAAAAGCATGAATAAGTACGATAAGGCACCAGCAGTATTGATTTTTTGGAAGTAATCCAGTTTCTGCTTTGTGGAATTGAAAAGAAGGGATAAGGTCACACAGAATCGAAGGCAAGCTTAAACAAAGATAATCAGCCGTTAACCATCATGAATTGTTACTGTTTAAATTCTGGCCTAGTCTTAGCCAAACATCAATAATTAAGCCATAATAAAAGTGCAAAATAAAGAGAAAACTGAATTCAATAGTGGTTTAAAACATGTATTGTTATTGAGCAAAAATAAAAAAGTATGAGTATTTTGAGTACCCTAAAAAAATGTTTAAGGTACTGTTAAATTCGGGTTGCATCCATATAGGTCCCCACACCGATACTCTCCCACACCTGTATTATTCCCCTACACCAAAACTACTACCAGCACGTTAGCCAACTTGGCCACCTACATAGGGGGAATGTCGATGTGGGGGAGTAATCATGCTGGGAAGCAAAGATGCAGAGGAGTATCAGTGTAGGGGAGTAACAGTGCACGTATAGCAATAAATTTACAAGGGATGTATCAATGTGGGGATCTGTCGGAATGGGGTAGTATCGATGTCAAAAGTTACCAGAGGGGAGTATTGGTTGGGGGAGGGGGGGGGTAATGACACGATCCCTTATATTCAAGCTTCGGTTAGTAAATAAAAATAAGATTTTAAACATTAAATAATGTTTCAAAGTGCTATAAAGCAATGTTCTTCAATTTCAAAAAATTGTTATTTTCACATTCTGTTAACAACAATGAAATTGTTAAAAAAAACAGCTACTGGCCTGATTAAAAAAAGCATGAAAATGTTAATTGTTAGCATTGTCATTACCAACAGAAGAAGAGAGAAATGCTTTTTTAAGAGACTGTCTGTCTGCATGACGGGTAGGGCAGTCCTGGTGCTCTGATTCAGTACTTCCCCTATTCCTGGGAGACTCCACAATGTTACGTCCTGAACATCTAGTTTAAAGGAAAAAATATATTTGAAAAATGTTGAAAATTAAAATATTGTATTAAAAATTGATTTTGCCATTATGACTTACTAAGCATTGATTTTCACAATTAAAATAAAAATTCCTATTTTACAATTAAAGACTTAGCAAACATAAAAACAATCTGGGATAACTTGGAACAGAAAACAGTGTTCAATTGGGTATTTTTATATATGCAAGGCAAAAAACCCTCACATGCTCTTCTGAAGTTTTGCATTTTTGTGTACAACAAACATGCAGCACAAATCCACTGTATTGTTGTACAATTGTGTGCCACAGCAATCATAGCCTTGACCTTGACCAGGGTGAAGGACACCTCTGCAACAAGTGGCTTGACTTGGATCAAAGCAGCTGTCTCCACACTGTTGAAATCCCCTACTATGTAGATGTCCTCGACAGCATGACTAGATAATATAAATGAATTTACTATGTTGAAATGAGCAAAAATGTTGAAAATTTCATAAAAGGGATTTTATTGATTTCATGTGTGATATCCAGCAAATCAATGAAAAAAAGTATCAAAAATAAAGGTGATAAAGCATTTAATGGACTCGATGTTTTGTGTATATTTGTAAAACATACTTTTTCTGATTGTTGGATTTTTTCCTGAAAATTTGAGTTAAAAAGCTACTATAACAGTCTGGTGATGCAGACATTTGTTAGGGACAACATTACTAAGGCTTATACCACGGCTGATGCTTCGAACAATAGGATAATTGCACTTGTATTCTGCATACATGCTTGCTTTTATTTTCATGCGCTTTGGTGCATTCATCCTGTTGTTTGAGGCGCCAGCCACGGTATAATTCAGTTACAACTACTAGTCATCGGCTGTGCCTCAGTATAATTTTGCTCTTATATGTTGCATACAGTGTTGTAACTAGTACATAAACTCATCGTAGTTATTTCCCTTGCACTTACCTGTGTATATATATTATATAGTCTGGCAATTCCGTTTTCAGGGTCTAGACAGCAGTCCATTATGTCTGGTTGATTGGTTGAAAGAACTCGATTTCCACAGCAGACTGCATTTGATTTGTTAAAGAAATTGTTACCACAGCAACCGAGCTGGCCATTTATCAATTTACCTTCAAACAAATAATAAAGATATATACTACAGATTGTTTTATTTTCTGATAGTGGCTATAAGAGAATATTCCTTTGTTACTTTGTATAGATTTAAGGATATTGTAACCCTTTATTACCATCCAAATATCGAAAATAAGTTTTTTCCTACATCTAATTATTCAATAATGGACCTTTCTTTGTGCTGATTTAAAGCAATGAAAAAGCCCTGGAAATATAAAATATCGGCATTTATGTTGTTTCATTGCAATATATAAGTATAGGCAACTCAGAGCTTTAATCGTCAATGTAACACCTTTCTATGGGGCGTAACTTCATCCCTAAACAAGATTTTATCACGAAAATTTGCAGAGTTGTCGAGGAGAGTAAAGACTACAATCCCGTGCCGTCATTTTGGTTTAAATGTTTTTGTTATGGAGTTATTAGGCCCTAATGACAGATTTTCATTTAACAAAGGCATCATTTTGCTTTATCAACAATTAAATCTGAACTAAGACTTTTAAGAAAAATCGCTGGCAGGGTTTTGGAGTACTAACTAGTGTGATTAAATTGGCATTGAAACGGTGATAGTGGGTGCTCAGGTAAAAGAGAAACTTGAGAAACTGATTTTTCTGTTTTTACCCCAAAATAGTGATTATGATGTCACCTGTAAGATGACATGTGGAAATGTTAATTGATTTAGTCACTGAACACTGAACATGTACCCAAAAGAATGTATGTAAGACAGTAAATAAGGAGTTTTGGGTGAAGGGTGACAATATCCTTAAGAATATTTTAAAGATGATATGTAAGGATTTTCACATGAAGTGATGTAAGAATTCATAGAATGAGGTTTTTAATTTATTCATCAAGTTTTATTGAATGAATATATTAGCTGATTGATTGATTGATTTGCCGATCGATTGATTCCATCTATAGTATTTCTTCAATGAATGACAAATATTATATAATACAACAAATCCTGCACCTCCACAACAAGATTTTCTCCTCGAGTTGTACACTCTGCTGGAGCCATTTTCTAAGTGGCAGCATTTTTTTGTGTAACCTGGATTGAATGCCTCTCTGCCACAGCACTCCTTGTGGCGCCTGGACCTGAGACGGTGGTTTTTACCATTACAACACACCTCATTCCTCAGTCTGTAAAGACCTAAATAAATGTGTATGGATATTATACATGGTTGGAAGGAAAGAGAGAGAGAGAGAGAGTTGGAGAGAGGGGCAGTGCACTTAGGAAAAGGTAAAATTCATTGCATTCATGTTGCATATTTTTTAGACCCCATTCCCACAGATTTTAGATCAATCTATCCCTGTGGGGAGTCTCACTAGATTACTGTCAGCTTAGCCGGTTTAAGCATCTGTCCCGCCTACTAAAAGCTGTAAGGGGGTAATTAACTGTCGTGCACGCTCAGCTGACTGCAATTAAGTGTGAACCCCCAGATGGATCAATCTAAATCTCTGGGAATGCACTCTTAGAAATCATAGATTCATCACACTGCTTTATGATTGTGTTCTCTCTGTAGTATATTATGTAGTAGAATATTATTATATGTTTACTATTTTGCATTTCAAACAGCATTCAATAAAGCACATTACATGAAATTAACACAATTCTTATTTTTACAGTATATAAATTTCTGTCTCATTTAGACCCACCTTCAATATTCAGTGAAAAGAAATATCTGAACTGTATGGACACATTGTTAATGTTTACTTTCTAGTAAAAAAATTAACCTTCATAAAGCACTTTTTTTTTTAAAATGTGGGTTGCAACATATTTGATTCTCGGACTAGTTAGTCCTCAGGTCAACTGGTTGTGAATCCTTCCTTAGGTGTCGATTTTGCATACATTGGTTGTATACGATATATATGCCTACCTTTTCCACAGCACCCGTATGTGTTACTGCTACCTTCCCTGACACCATCATTACAACATAACTGTATTGAAGGAGAGTAACTTTGTTCACTGTTGCAACACAACTGCGTGTTGATGTCATACACAGTGTTACCGCAGCAGCCATATTGCCCAGAACTCTCACTGTAATTCAGAAGTTTACCTGACATTAAAAAAAAAACAAAATTAAGAAGTTAAGATTAAAGATAATATCAGATTTGTGATTGTTCATGTTCTTCATTCTCGAGAGGTCACTCCGTTGGCAGTGATGACTTGCCTGTAAAACATATTGCATTACTGTGATAATATTACGGATACCCTTGCCACCATAACCTGAAATCTGTTTTATTTTATTTATTATTTTTTTTTTATGATGTTTTCAATTTCTGGACTATGTATGTAAGATTTTTATCATGGCTTATGTTAAATATTATGTAAAAGAAATTAGAATGTTTTTAAAAACGGTTCTTACCCCCTGCAACAAATCTGATGGTTTGAATCATACAGAGTTCTATTGCATACAGCTGTCTGGGTTGGTGATGTTTTAGCGATGATTTTTCTACGGACCCTGTCACAAACCTCAGTGGAACTATTGTAGAACTTTCCAACAGGTGCACAACATCTGGTGGTGGCATGGATTTCAGATGCTGGTTTTATTTCATGTTTCAGGGAAGTGGGAAATAAAAGGGTGTTGGTGCAGCATCTCTCCTGAGGCTGGTGGTACACCTCGTTTCCACAGCACCATGTATTATCTCCTGTGGAAGTTTATTAAACAATGCTAGCTATTCACTATACCCTCTACCAGGGCGACAGATTGATTTTTCACAAGATATTCGCAGTTATATGTCTTTAGACAGTCATTTCTTTCTCTGCCAATAATATCTACCACCCTAGTAAAGAGTAGCTATCCACTGTATTCTGTGCAGATTAAAGATGGAGGGTAGATAATGTTCATTCTGAGAAAATTTTTAATTCTGATTTCTTTAATTTGTGCAAAGCCCCCTTTACGCTGACAGCATCCTTTCTACATCCCATAATATGGCCTCATTTAAGAGTAAAAATTTTTCATTAAATTTATTAAAATAATACTTAAGGTAATGACAACTGGCTGATCATTGAGCATCCATTCTGCAACCAAAGCAATTATGTTTGTACCTCCTTTCTATGACCACAGTGATGCCAGTTTCAGATGGTTGCACAAAGGACACAGAAAGGAAGCCGTTCAGTGTAAAGGGGGTTAAACCATTTGTTTTCAGTATCTTGAAGCTACTGTAATTCAGCTTTTTGCAATTTAGCCTTTCTCTTTTTGATTTGGTTCGGTATGATTTAAGTTCTTTCATCTTACCATGCAGTTTTCCACGTACTTCCCCATTACAGCAGATAGACTGTGACCTGTTAAAGCTCACTGCAGTCTTCATGCCACGTGAAATACAGCAGTCTATGTCAGGATTTTCTGTAATGCTCAGAACTTTGTCTCCACAGCATATTTGTTCATTGATGTGGTACGGTACTCCAGCCCCTTTGTATTAGACAAAAAATAAGTTTGTGAAATGTCTACAGATTTCTGCATGCCCCATGTCACTTGGAGATGTATATTTAGACCCCACAATCATTTTTTTCAATCCATCATTTTAGGGAACTGGACATGGAAAAAAATTCTCGAGATATGGGACATTAATTATGTCGCTCACTAAAAATGTTTTTAAAAGGGGATTAATGGTTTGATATATATTTTAAACAGGAAAATGGAACTGCATTTTTTATATTGACTGCAAATATTATTTGAATGTTTTTCTACAAATATTATAACTTGTCATATTTTTGCTTTTTCCATACATTTGATTTTTTTCTTTATTCTTTATTATATAATTATTTTGCTGTGATAAATACCACTGCAGCATTGATCCTGCCTGCCCTTTTGGTACACGTGACCCCCACAACACATATCACGTTGAGGATCGTAGCATGTTCCATTTTGGTTGTCCCCATGTTGTTGTTGCCCATTGTGTGAGCCACAGTGGTTCATACCTTGGTCTTCACATGATTTCTGAGACATGAAATGACCTTGGATGACACCTTTAAGGGATAATAGTCACTAACTTATGCATAGTCAACCAGAAGGAATTTTGACAAAAGATGCATTATTTACTGATAATAAAGTACACTCACCGAGCATCAATAAAACCCCTGATAAGTCGAGGATTGGGTTGTGCTTCATAATTGCAGCAGATGACCAAGTTCTGGGAAGTTTGCATAATTTTTGGAGGAAATATGTCTCTTTTATACTGGTATATGGCCCCGTGCGAAATTCCCAAATATAAATAAATTTTGTACTTTTCAGTTTCAACATCCTGCTTATATGTGAAAGTGACAGTAATCAAATTGTATAAACTTCATGTACATTGTTTTTAACAGAGATGAAAAGAGGAAAAAAGTGAAGGCAGACCATCAATTTTAATTAATTGTTATTGTGAAAATTTCAATGAAATGACTTAATAAAGATGTATACAGTAAAACATGACTTTAATTTATTTTACTGAAAATAAGTTAGAATGCATATAAAATATAATAAACTATAAGTGCACCTTGGGTTTACTAGATTAAAACATTTTATTCAAAATGCATGAAAGAAATAGAAAACTGACTCATGTACTTGTGACTAAAAAATAAAACAGCCACAGAATAAAAACACACAATGGAGGGAAGACTAATAATTAACAAAGTAGAGATATGTAAATATGATATATCAATACGATAACATGAAATTCTAAATAGTTAACAAGTGTTTTCTTTAGCTGGTTTCATTGATTGTGTGTCACAGTGTAGCCCATTTCAATGTGCCAAAAACTGCCTTTTCAGTCCTGTCTATATTATGCTTTGTATCAGTTCAGATGTACAGTGACTAGTCTATATTTGGAACTCGTGTTTTCTAAAAACGAAAACAAAACTACCTAGTTTAAATTCAACGAGTAACAATTGTGGAATATCATGTAAATGTTAACAATTGTAAAAAGTTGTCAATATCTCAAAAAATCTCCTCAAAAATGTTACCAGACTGGCCTGAATTTATCAAAAATTATGCTTAATTAGTAACAATACTATGTCTGAGGTCAAATAAAATCGTGCGTCCTTCAACTACAAAACTTAAAAAATGACAAAAATATGACCATTACATTTAATGGTGCAAGAAACATAATTGCCTTATATACTTATATATGTTTGATACAAAGTATCTATATATCACAGATTGCCTTTATGTAATTTGTAAATTGAATACCAGAAAATGTTGAAATACTTGTAAAATTCACGATAAATATTCTATCTGATATATATTTAAGCACTGACCAGGAATATATCAAAAAGACATCATTACAAACATACTAGTATTAGGTAATTATTAACTTATGACAAAAGCAAGTTGCATTGTTTGTTGCTGATCTTGAAACGAGTATAAAAACATCAAGTGTAAATTAACATAACAACATATAATATATAACCTTCATCCCATTTAACCAGTATTTAAGCTTTTACTAATAAATGCAAGAGTTCTTTTTTTCTTCTGAACTGCAAAACCATATAAATATTCATTAGTCCATTTCAAGTCCATCTACTTTGGTGAATAACATGAAGTCACATATTAGGGAAAATGCATCACTGGATTGTGCAAAAGATCCAACTGGTCTATAAATGCAATAGATGATCTGTTTTTCTTCAAAACTGTTTATTTTCATCATTGGTCTGTATCCATGGCTCACTAAGCAGTTTTATCCAAGTTTTCCGTCAGTGTTGATGACTCCCCTCTTCACAAGGATGGAGCTGAAGAGATGGAATTGAACCTCTGTTATTGTACTATTCCCCCAGGGTTTAGTTAGTTGTGCCAAAGATCACCATAATGAGTGCTGGAAGCAATATTAATAAGCGGAGCTGAATTAAGCGGAGAGAGATTATCAATGTTAGAAGAATTTCTAATTGTTAATTTCTTGAAAGTTTTTCGTTTTTAAGCAAGCTGTGCAAAGTATTAGTGTGTTGGGAAAAAACAAAGAGCATCAGAATTCTGAAATTGATTTTAGATGTTAAATATCTATTCAAAAGAAACACAAAAGCTGATAATAAATGAAATTCTGCTAAAATATGAGAAGCTGATTTTAATCTATAAAACTCTTTCATTCAAAAGCACTTTACATGCTTATACGTAACTAAAACAGAAAAAATTTCTTAGTTTCAGATTCAGTAAGAAATAAGGGGAAATCACTTCCTTAACAATATCCTAAAATGATTGGTTAGGGTAACTGAAAACTAAAATTGATAGTAGTGATAGCAAGCAGAGATGGTGATTGATGGTATTTATTCACTAGATTTATGTACCTAAAATTTCCAGCAGTTTAGACTTCCTTCTACTTCCAGTATTTCTCGTGGCACGTATTTTAGGTCTTTGGTGTTGAATTTTATTGACTTGACTTGTTGTTCCTTGATCGGTGACCATAGGACACCCTTCTACTTCAGTCCCTACAGGGTATTTTCTACCAAAACAGCAAACCTGAAAAGAAAATGACCTTTTAAAGGGCATTCTAACAGTGCACTATTTGTTAATTTTTTTTTTTTTCTGAAACTAAAACTGGATAAAAAGAGGGAATAACCGTGTACCTTTACCATCACTTTCTTTTCAATGATCAAAATTTTGACTAAGTCATGCTACATATGCTTAGTGTACTATTATGAAAGGAAAAAAACGTATACTTCAAGTGATTGTGAAACTGAAAATACATAAATATTTGCACTAGAGTTTGGTCATCACTTTCTTTGTATTACCATTATGGAAAGAATGATAGGTTTATATACTAAACTACCATCTTTTGTAGTGAATGAGTCATACACAGACGATATTGAAAATCATATGATATTGAATAAAACCAGGAAGAGGAAATCACAGAGATTGAACAATGCAGACCAGGAAAATGTATTGAACCAAAGAAGGGAATTTTCTTTCTAATGTGTTCACAACCGTCATAATAACCCTTGGTATGTGTGGGAAGGATTTTTCTTGTTTATCTGACAAAAACTGACATCGGTTGGTCTTTTATAATGGTATAATGTGCATATTTTCCTTTTTAAACAAATTTAAAACTTCTGGGGGGGGGGGTACACCCTGGTACTATTCTCATTTGACTACAACTTACCTCCCTGTGCTTGTTGTAGGTGGTCACTTGGCCTATACTATATCCTGTACAACAAGTATCATCATCAGGGCGGCGTTTTAGAGTAGGTTTGTTATCGCAGCAGATTTGGCCATCCCCCAGGACTGCGTTGCCACAGCAAGGTGTGTCCAGACCAAGCACTTGTCCTGTGGAAAAAAAAAGGAATTGCATAGTAAAATGAAAAGTAATTAGGTGTTTAAGTGAACAATGAAACAAATTAACCTCTAGAATAGCATAAAAAATTTTTCATTTTATTATTTTGTATATTTTTAATTAAAAGAGCAGAAGAATATAGTCACACACAAATATACTATAAATATATATAATGTGTCTCCGACTTATCATGTAGATGGGGTTATGTAAAAAGCAGTTGAAAAAATAAGAACTAAATTGGGTCATTCAAGTTGTTTTACAAGCATGGAAGTATTTTCTGACAATTTAATATTAGTTTACATGTATATATATTATATATACTGGGGTACTGTATGTGAATACGTAGATAAATAGAAACTAATAGGACTTTCCATACCTCCACAGCATTGCCTGGTCTGGATGTTATAGGTAGCAGCACCACAGCAACCAGTATTCCCCATGCCGTAAGTCAGAGGTTGAAGAGCATTGTTACAGCAGATGTTCTCCAACTTGTTGTAGACTTTTCCTTCAACGGCTTCCATGCCATCGCCCTTGCAACATGCCAGATTGGGGTTGTCTGCTTTACTGAGAATCTGGTTGTTGCAGCAGAAGTGACTGCTTTTGTTGTAGATCCCAACACCTGTGAAAATATGTACAAAATCAAAATGTACTTCAACAAGAAAAACCTAATAAACATGTTTGAATTAAAACAGCCAACTTTTTTGTGTTAACTGCAAACACACACACACACAAAAATAAAGCATCACAAATAGTACAATTTTAATTATGTACTGCTCTATCAGGCTGAAAATCTGAAAGGACACTTTTTTCAATGTTTTAGCATATTTCTAAGCCTTCACATCTTTTTCTAAGTAAAACAGATTAAAATGAATTCATAATTTTGCAGTGCATTTCAGACACAGGTTCAGGTTTATTTACTTTTTAAGTTTTTATTTTAAAAGTTATCAGTAAAAAACCACTTAACTACTTCACTTACCTTCACAGCACTCTGTGTCATCGCTATCTTTATTGAAAAGTGAACTTTTGCAGCAAACTTGTTTGTTAGGGTCAAAACAGTTGCCATGCAACCAGTCCCCTTGATGTGCTCTTGTAAAACAGACACGCAGACCATTTTTAGAACACGTTCTGAGGCTGCAAGACTGTATTAAACCTATAAAGAATATAATCACTATCTTTGTACGTTGTACTTTGAATATCAAGAGATTATACTAAGTGCATTAAATAAAGAATTGAGAAACCATCAAGGCTAAAAAGTCTTGGTATTATATATATACCTTAAAAGTACATTAAGTTAGTAATAGCAACAGTACATATCTTAGTAAGATATTTTTTAATAACTATATATTCCTTGAAAACTCTGCATCAATGTTACGTAATTATCTATTCAAAAATATTTTATGTGTTTATATCCATCTGATTTAACAACACATAAACGCACTTATTTAAATATCTTTTATTTTATCTATTTATCCAGCATTATCAATTTCAAATATTTACTCACAGTCCGTCCCATTGTCCACCACCTGAAAGTCATTACAACAGGTTTTTGAGGTCTTGTTGTAAATCTGGGTACCGCAGCATTTGCTGTCATCCTTCCCATAAGTCAGTGGTTGAAGTGTCTGATTGCAGCAGGTATAGCTAGTCGTGTCGTAGACATTCTGGTCACAACATGCCTTGTTGGAGCTGATTTCTAGGACAGAGCTGCCACAACAAAAGTGACTGCTTGTATTATAGGCCAACTTTGCTTCTGAAAATAGAAATAATCGATGGATTAATTTTGATATTGTGTATACTTTCAGAGGGCGAGAATTCCAGTTTTCATTAGCCATATTACTGAAAGGCTTTATTAGTGAACTTAAGTCATAACTGGCAAAAATTATTTGGAGTTGATAGTAATGTTATAATTTCTTGCAAAAAGGGTGAAAAAGGGTGATTCAGTTAAGATGAATATCCCTTTTAATGTTTTTTTTTTTTTTTTTTTTTTTTTTTTTTTTTAAATATTAAACAGCTATTTTCAATTAAATAACAGCTTACCATAACAACATTTTGTGTTTGGGAGATTTGGCCACAATTCTTGTCCACAGCAGATTTCTTTCTTAGGATCATAACAAGTAGCATTGACAAAATCACCAAAGTTTGCCCTTGTAAAGCACGGCTGGAGACCCTTGTCTCGGCACTCTGTTAATGTATATGCTGCCTCTGGTTGAACAACCCCATCTGGAAAAATATTGCTTACTGAGTAACGAAGAGTAAGGATCAACAGTAAAATGAACTCTTAGATGGTCAAAAACTTGTCACCACATTTTAGATCATTTAAAAGTATTTTTTTATAATTTACATAGCTCCCTAAATCTGGTACATGTACATGTAAAAAAATAGTTTCATGCCTTTTTTCAATGATATCTCAAAAAAGTAATTTGGATTTTATTCCATTTATATCATGCAAGTTCTGTGGTTAATATTTAACTACATTGTACAATATATTATACCCCAGTGTGTTTGTAAAGTTAATTAATAATCTTGTAGAACTCCACTTTACTATTATTTAACCTTAGTCCATTATGAACAGTGTGAACATTCTGAAAAAAAAACTTTTAAAAATTCTTAACTTTTTCAGAACTGTTGTGTCAGCGAAATCAAAGAATATTTCCGTTATGATTCACTTTCACTTTCAGAAACGGTTTCACAACTAGCACAATAGATCGGAAACTGTGGGCGGGGGGAAATGCCCTCAATTTCCAGGGTGAGTCAATCTAGTACATTGTGCTCTGTCTCAACTACCACAATGATCAGTATTCTAACTCACATCTCTGAGACCGCTACAGTCTCTGTAAAATATTTATAATATACATAGTTTTTTCAGCAGTTTTCTGTTACCATTATATAGCAGTTCAGAAATAGAAGAAAAAAAACTAATGAAAAAAGAAAAAATATATATAATTCTAAACTGTTACTGGTGATACAGTGAAGATGTAATTTCTCTCACTGAATGACCATCAAAGAGATGTTTTTTAGTAACATTATTTTTTCTCTCATAAAAGTCTATATGTGTATACTTACCACAGGTGGTTGAAATTAAAACCAGAAGTGCTGATATGAGTATTCCACTGTATCCCATAGTTTTCATGAATGAATAAATACACATTGCACTGTTCATAAATTGAGATATTAATATCAGATCTATCGTTGCTCGGCAGTGATACTTTCTTAGTAAAGGCAGTAATAAACTGAAGGCATACATGTAGGGTCAATACTTTTATATACAAGGTTTGTGAAACAGCTAAGTGCATTATTTTCATCTTATATGTCATTTTGGAAAATTGAGACCAGTATATGGTTAGTAATTCCATTCCTGACCAGCACTCTCCACTTCCTGTACCTGTCCATCTAGTTTCTAATACTAGTTTCAGGATCACATTAGAAAAACAATAGAATTAGTGGAAGTGTTGAAAAAAAGAGATGAGAACATAAAATTAGACATTAACAATCATCACATATTGGGAAAGTAGAGAAAGTGGAAAGAACATTTTCAGATATACAAGTAGATAATTTGTGTATTTGAACTATTAGTCATGAATTCTTGCTAATCCAGTCTTTTAATTCAATCTTCTTGTTAAGGTATTTTGACTTCATGTGAAAGGTATGTCTAATATATTTCATGCAGTTACTGTTTATACTGTATATTTGATATTCATTTTTTGTTAAATAAGTTGTTATTTTAATCATTTGTTTATTGCTCCAATGTTATTGATCAGTTTATTCCATTCTTTAATTTTTTTAGTTGTCTGTCTTAAAAAACAAAATACTTATTTATTGATTCCTGATGTAAATGATAGGAAGAAGGATAACAATTTTATTCTTTTTCTTTTTTTGTAAGTTGGAAGATCTTTTGATAGGCACTCAAATTTCTGATCGGACTTTTTTGTGTCTGAGTATTATCTTGCAGGAAATATGTTCTAAAATGAGGTTTCACATACCTCTTTTTATTATTAGAAAAATGAGGGGAAATATTGGATACCAAATATCAGTATTATGAGGGACTTTTCCATCACCAAGATTGGCAGTCTGGTTAGTTTCCATGGATCCTTGTTCCTTGTATTTGACATTCAAAATATGTATCATTGTGTATAGGAAAATGAGATTCCCACAATTATCGCTTCAGCATGTTTATCAATTGAGGAAAATTGAAAAGATTCATGTATTATCGGTAAGAAATGTCTAAATTTATACATTGTAGATCTGAGATTTATAGCTTGTATTTATAAGTATCTGTTAATTATTATTATTTATTTATTTATTTATTTATTTATTTATTTATTTATTTATTTATTTTATATATTTATATTTATTTTTGACATGCTATACATTTAGTAATGAAAATTACTGAAAAATTTCCAAGAAAATATATAATATTGAAATAATTAACTTTAAGCCTTAGGGATAGAATTTTTTCAGTATGATCTTCTTAGTGAAAATCATTGAAAATTTTTTCATGAAAAATATGATTGTGAAACATGCCTGTAGGGATAGAATATACAATGGCTTTGTTGTTCTACATGTTATTGATATCTTTGGATAAACTGCCAAGCTTCCAATATACAGTAAAATTATGTGATTTCATGAGCATTGTAGATTTTTAGAAAGAGAGGAGTTTCTGGGTTTTGGGGTGGGGGGAGTAATGTTTCCATTATGGTATCAAACTGGATGAGTTTTTTTATGTACATGTTTCTCCAATGGACAGTTAGACCTAGTATTTTTTGTCTGACGCCACCTTATCCTCATGATTAATTTTGTTTCTACTACCTCATACCACAAACAAATTAGGATCAAATCTTCATGGAAATTTGATGTCATCATCAAAATTAAAAATTATTATGAAACTTATAATCAGCTAATAAAGTCACATCCTTCAAGACAGGAAATGTTTTTTTTTTACTTAAGGTGTCTTTAAAGGTTAAAAAAAACACTATTGTCAGATTTCAAAACTGACAAAGAGACTAGTATGGTTATAAATTATTCATGAATTTAACTTTCTAAAATTTCCTACTGTAGCCCCTCACTGATACCACAGCAACAGCAATATCTTTTTAAAAAAGTGTGATTCAGATTATATCAGCCAAAGCTTTGCTCTTATCTCAAATGGTCTTCTGAAGTGTACTAGATGTAAAAATCAAGTGTACCATTTTGTTGTCAGACTTAAAGTCAACAACCTCTTTATTAAGAGCAAAAGAAGGACATTAACTTAAGTCATTGTTTGAGTGAATATTACTTCAAGCAAAAACAGACAATGTTTTTTATTTATTTATTTTTATTTTCAAGCAAATATAATTACAGCATATTCATTGAAACAAAATGTTTTTTTCTTCTCAATACTGCAATAAATTTATATATTTAAGCAATTTAAATTGATTGATAGCCTAATGCTTGTGATGTTCGCAACTCATGTAATACTTTGTAATAGATCTTGCAGTGTTTTCAGTGATACAGCTATGTCCACTCTCCTGAAAGTGACAACAGTTATATCAAGAATATTACACAAATCTTCCCACACACAGGTTTCCCAAGTGTATTGAAGCAGACCTTGCTTGTTAAATATCATTTACAAACACATATTATTCTTTTTTCAAAGCCATTATCACTGCCTCACTGAGTCATTAACATGAATATGAATTTGTCCCTATTGTTTTTAAATATTAATATATTTAAAACATGAATTTTCACTCTGTATCTTTTGGGAGAGCTCCTATCTGTATAAAGCCTCTACTTGGCAACTATAATTAAGAAGTGCTCTTCATTGGCAACTTGGGCATATCATTTGTCGGTTGGTGTTGGATAACCTTTCAACAATTAGTCTTGACATCTCAAGTGGTATTTGATCAGGTTACATTTGTTGTAGTTGGTGAGTTCTTGAAAAAAAATTTTGACCAGAAAAAAATTCATTAAACTAATGTTTTCCAACTGTCACCTCTAAACTACCAATACCCCTTTACTTTGAAATGAATTATCATTTGAAAAAAGCCTATATACACATACGTTTATAAATTAACATACATAAAAATAATAAATGTCTCAAAAGAATTGACTGATTTGAGCACTGGAACTTGCCAACAATGGAACTTGCCAACAACCGGAAGATGTATAAATATATTTGAAAATATTTAAATGTATTAAAAAAACAAATTACATGTTAAAATATCAAAAATACACATAAAATATTTCCTTCTCCAAACTGACCTGAGTCTGCTTCCTTAAAACATATAACTTATCCACTAGTTGAAGTCTTTAAAAATCCCTTTAATACATTGAAAAAAGCTTGCACAAAATGCTGTAATACTTTTATAATATCCAATAAGAGAAAAAAATAAAGTGACTGGCCTTGACTGTAAAAAAGGATAACTTAAGGGAACGTTACCTTCTTGGTGCGTTTGTAATGAAAAAATTCCTACTTAATATATTCCTTTAGTCTAAAAATTTTAATGCTACAATAAATTAAGATGTTGGCCTCACTAAAAACAGTTTCTATCCATCATTTGACCTTATAATAACAATAAAAAGAGTGAGTGTTATGACTGACAGAAATTGCACAATTCATTGGTAAATAATACTTCTATCAAGCATCATCAGCACAGGTACTACTAATTTCATTTGATTCAACAAATGTTGTGATTTTTAAATTCACAAAGAATTGATCTTTAAATAATTTATCCTTATTTCTTCAACATTCTGAATATATAAGTGATTAATATGTTCTTCTTTGTTTCAAAATGTCTCTTAAATATTTTCAAATAAAAAGCTACAATTTGTTTAACTTCGCCAATTTTTGACTTTCTGCATAAATTCCTTTTGCCATTAAACAAAATAAAAAAAGTTTTGCTAAAATGCTCAACTTCAAAACATTCTTCTTTTTAACTTTCTTTTAAACTTTTTTTGTAATCTCTTCTTGACATCTCTTTGGAATACCATCAGCAGGTCGCCCTTCCCAAGCATGGTTGCGTCCTCTGTCAAGAGGGCAGTGTTGTTGGTCATCACAAAAATTCTTGATCCCGATTTCAGAATTGCCCCACTAGCACACTCGTTATCCAGCACTATGTTAGCCTTGGACTTGCAACATGTGCCATTACGAAAAATTGCAGCATGCTTATAGTGATAGTCACTGGATGTGTTGTTTGGCACACGTCTGCTGTCTCTAATTCTGGTTAAAGAAAACATGGTTGAGTTCTGCTGTGTGACTCTTAGAGCAACCTTGGCATCCAGCACTGTAAAATAAGTAATATTTTTTTGTTATTGTTGTGCATAAAGGTCACCACAATTACGAGAAATATTGAGTTTAGAGCAAAAGTTCTTAAGCTGCTGTCATTGGACATTATGGGGAAAGTTTCAGATGACAGCCACCAAAATCCATTTTATGTTGTATTTCATCTTCAAAAATGGTATCTAACAGGTACTGGTATTTAAAATGGTAATTATTATTAATGAGTGCTTTCCATATGGGGTCTTATTTGCATATGATTTCTTCAATCAATCACTTCTTTAATAAGTCAACAGGGCAAATGGTCTTAATTTTCTCAAATAAGTCAATTAATCATAATTGTGGTTTGACTCTCACAGGCCAGTGTTCCCAATCAACTGAATGCCATTAAATCTTGAAGGTACTACATATATGAAGCCAGAGTAAATCCCCATTTATTTATTTTAATATTTAGTACCAGTTTTTTGCACAGCACAGATAAAATTCACAAGCCAAAAAGTTGTCATGAGTGAAAGAAAATGATTTAAAACTGCACCTTCTTCAAACTTCTGGTGTTTTCAGGAAATAATGTAAAGGACCTCAATCTGTGGTATTTCTTTCTGTTATTTTTTAGCTATATGGTGGCATTTAGCAAGGTTTCACAGCAATTATTTGACATGAACACTCTCTTAAAATGCATATTAACATAAAAAATACTGATCAATTTAGTCCATCAGTTAATATAAGAAACTACAGACTGGAAACATTCTCATATACACTCATGTGGGCAAAAAAAAATCTTACCAATGGAATATGTCATAGCCAGTCTGTCAAAGTCTGCACTGTCTCTATGGTAATTCTTACAGAAGTGGAGTTGACTTTGTGTGCTTTCAGATCCACTAACAGTCACACACACAGGGCAGGAAGGGGGCCTGGGTGATCTTAGCTCACTTTTTTGGCCATTGCATCTGGAATAAGAAAATAGAAACTGCTAGTGCAATTATCCTAGGCAAAATGAACTACTGGTAGTAGGCAATCAAGTAAAGATTAAATGGACTTTGATTGCTCATTGTGGCTAAATTGAAATCAATTTTTAATGTATTGATAACTGTTAACAATTTTTTGCCTAGTGTCAGACATGGTCAGGGAACTGTTAGTATGACAACAGCTCTTTGCGGAGTCCATCTTTTCCAAACAAAGTATTGGAACAACTACAGAAATGGTAATGCACTATTTGTATTGTATCGTCATTAATATATCATATTGTACAAGGTCATGACAATCTATGTACCAGTACAGAAATAAATTGAATTGAATTGAACTTAAAAAGTTTTTGATGAATCAATATGTCAGTAAATGTGAACAAAATTAATTTTTTAAGGTAAGGTGAAATAAGTTTTGTGACTGATCAGATTTATAAATGAAAACAGATCTTTGAGGAACAGAAACACAGTCAAAATTTATTTCAACAAATAAGTTCCTGCAACTGTTTGTCCCACTTCTTCTAAAACTGCTCTAGCTACAATATTTTTTATTTCTAAAAAATCTAATCTCTACAATTATGCACAAACATACCCTTTCATACTTAATATTAAATCATGTTTATCACAAGTGCTTTATTTCACCTTTTTTTTCACTTATAACTGAATGATATCATTTAAACTTACTTATGTGTATGTTTTTGGCCCTTATGTATCTTAAAAGCACAGCAAAGATCGTTTTCAGGGTCGATGGCCCTTGTTCCACAACAACCCAGTCCAGCAGTGTAAAGAACCCCCCGACAACATGTAGCATTGTCAGGGTGGAAGCAATCCTTGCCACAGGGGAGGTATGATTTAGGCACAATTTTTCCATTGCAGCATTTATGTGTCTCAAAGTTATATGTGTCATAAACACCTGCAAAAAGAGTTTCATTTAACATAATTATAGAAAAAGAAATAGAAATAGAAAAAAAATTCTAATTCAGTTAAGTCCTCAATAGCCCCTAATAAGTTGTAAATAGCAATTAAAAATACAGGTGAAACTACTGGGTGTAAATAAACACTTATATTTCCTACATCTGGAGCCCTCCTCCCACCCCACCCCACCCCTACACCACACCATTCCACCCCCCACACCACACCACCCCACCCCTACACCACCCCATTCCTCCCCCCACACCACCCCACACCACCCCTACACCACCNATTTATTTATTTATTTATTTATTTATTTATTTTATATGTATATATATATATATATATATATTTTTTTTTTTTTGACATGCAATACATTTAGTAATGAAAATTACTGAAAAATTTCCAAGAAAATATATAATATTGAAATAATTAACTTTAAGCCTTAGGGATAGAATTTTTTCAGTATGATCTTCTTAGTGAAAATCATTGAAAATTTTTTCATGAAAAATATGATTGTGAAACATGCCTGTAGGGATAGAATATACAATGGCTTTGTTGTTCTACATATTATTGATATCTTTGGATAAACTGCCAAGCTTCCAATATACAGTAAAATTATGTGATTTCATGAGCATTGTAGATTTTTAGAAAGAGAGGAGTTTCTGGGTTTTGGGGTGGGGGGAGTAATGTTTCCATTATGGTATCAAACTGGATGAGTTTTTTTATGTACATGTTTCTCCAATGGACAGTTAGACCTAGTATTTTTTGTCTGACGCCACCTTATCCTCATAATTAATTTTGTTTCTACTACCTCATACCACAAACAAATTAGGATCAAATCTTCATGGAAATTTGATGTCATCATCAAAATTAAAAATTATTATGAAACTTATAATCAGCTAATAAAGTCACATCCTTCAAGACAGGAAATGTTTTTTTTTAACTTAAGGTGTCTTTAAAGGTTAAAAAAAAACACTATTGTCAGATTTCAAAACTGACAAAGAGACTAGTATGGTTATAAATTATTCATGAATTTAACTTTCTAAAATTTCCTACTGTAGCCCCTCACTGATACCACAGCAACAGCAATATCTTTTTAAAAAAGTGTGATTCAGATTATATCAGCCAAAGCTTTGCTCTTATCTCAAATGGTCTTCTGAAGTGTACTAGATGTAAAAATCAAGTGTGTATACCATTTTGTTGTCAGACTTTAAGTCAACAACCTCTTTATTAAGAGCAAAAGAAGGACATTAACTTAAGTCATTGTTTGAGTGAATATTCTCAAAGCAAAAACAGACAATGTTTTTTATTTATTTATTTTTATTTTCAAGCAAATATAATTACAGCATATACATTGAAACAAAATGTTTTTTTCTTCTCAATACTGCAATAAATTTATATATTTAAGCAATTTAAATTGATTGATAGCCTAATGCTTTTGATGTTCGCAACTCATGTAATACTTTGTAATAGATCTTGCAGCGTTTTCAGTGATACAGCTATGTCCACTCTCCTGAAAGTGACATCAGCAAGAATATTACACAAATCTTCCCACACACAGGTTTCCCAACTGTATTGAAGCAGACCTTGCTTGTTAAATATCATTTACAAACACATATCATTCTTTTCTCAAAGCCATTATCACTGCCTCACTGAATCATTCATATGAATGAGAATTTGTCCCTATTGTTTAATATTTAAAACATGAATTTTCACTCTGTATCTTTTGGGAGAGCTCCTATCTGTATAAACTATAATTAAGAAGTGCCCTTCATTGGCAACTTGGGCATATCATTTGTCGGTGGTGTTGGATAACCTTTCAACAATTAGTCTTGACATCTTATGTGGTATTTGATCAGGTTACATCTGTTGTAGTTGGTGAGTTCTTGAAAAAATGAATTATCATTTGAAAAAAGCTTATATACACATACGTTTATAAATTAACATACATAAAAATAATAAATGTCTCAAAAGAATTGACTGATTTGAGCACTGGAAATTGCCAACAATGGAACTTGCCAACAACTGGAAGATGTATAAATATATTTGAAAATATTTAAATGTATTAAAAAAACAAATTACATGTTAAAATATCAAAAATACACATAAAATATTCCCTTCTCCAAACTGACCTGAGTCTGCTTCCTAAATACATATAACTTATCCACTAGTTGAAGTCTTTAAAAATCCCTTTAATACATTGGAAAAAAGCTTGCACAAAATGCTGTAATACTTTAATAATATCCAATAAGAGAAAAAAATAAAGTGACTGGCCTTGACTGTAAAAAAGGATAACTTAAGGGAACGTTACCTTCTTGGTGTGTTTGTAATGAAAAAATTCCTACTTAATATATTCCTTTAGTCTAAAAATTTAAATGCTACAATAAATTAAGATGTTGGCCTCACTAAAAACAGTTTCTATCCATCATTTGACCTTATAATAACAATAAAAAGAGTGAGTGTTATGACTGACAGAAATTGCACAATTCATTGGTAAATAATACTTCTATCAAGCATCATCAGCACAGGTACTACTAATTTCATTTGATTCAACAAATGTTGTGATTTTTAAATTCACAAAGAATTGATCTTTAAATAATTTATCCTTATTTCTTCAACATTCTGAATATATAAGTGATTAATATGTTCTTCTTTGTTTCAAAATGTCTCTTAAATATTTTCAAATAAAAAGCTACAATTTGTTTAACTTCGCCAATTTTTGACTTTCTGCATAAATTCCTTTTGCCATTAAACAAAATAAAAAAAGTTTTGCTAAAATGCTCAACTTCAAAACATTCTTCTTTTTAACTTTCTTTTAAACTTTTTTTGTAATCTCTTTTTGACATCTCTTTGGAATACCATCAGCAGGTCGCCCTTCCCAAGCATGGTTGCGTCCTCTGTCAAGAGGGCAGTGTTGTTGGTCATCACAAAAATTCTTGATCCCGATTTCAGAATTGCCCCACTAGCACACTCGTTGTCCAGCACTATGTTAGCCTTGGACTTGCAACATGTGCCATTACGAAAAATTGCAGCATGCTTATAGTGATAGTCACTGGATGTGTTGTTTGGCACACGTCTGCTGTCTCTAATTCTGGTTAAAGAAAACATGGTTGAGTTCTGCTGTGTGATTCTTAGAGCAACCTTGGCATCCAGCACTGTAAAATAAGTAATATTTTTTTGTTATTGTTGTGCATAAAGGTCACCACAATTACGAGAAATATTGAGTTTAGAGCAAAAGTTCTTAAGCTGTTGTCATTGGACATTATGGGGAAAGTTTCAGATGACAGCCACCAAAATCCATTTTATGTTGTATTTCATCTTCAAAAATGGTATCTAACAGGTACTGGTATTTAAAATGGTAATTTTTATTAATGAGTGCTTTTCATATGGGGTCTTATTTGCATATGATTTCTTCAATCAATCACTTCTTTAATAAGTCAACAGGGCAAATGGTCTTAATTTTCTCAAATAAGTCAATTAATCATAATTGTGGTTTGACTCTCACAGGCCAGTCTTCCCAAGTAACTGAAGGCCATTGAATCTTGAAGGTACTACATGACAAGCCAGAGTAAATGCCCTGTTACTTATTTTAATATTTAGTACCAGATTTTTTGCAACAGCACAGATAAAATCCACATGCCAAAAAGTTTCTCATGCAGTAGAGGAAAGGCTTTAAAACTGCATATTCTTCAAACTTCTGGTGTTTTCAGGAAATAATGTAAAGGACCTCTGTGGTATTTCTTTCAGAATCTGTTATTTTTAACTATATGGTGGCATTTGGCAATGTTTAGCAGCAATAATTTGATGTGAGAACTCACTTAAAATGCATATTTGAAATGTATTTTAACACAAAAAATACTGATCAATTTATTCCATCAGTTAAAAAACTGCAGACTGGAAACGTTCTCATATAGACTCATGTGAGCAAAAACATCTTACCAATGGAATATGTCATAGCCAGTCTGTCAAAGTCTGTACTGTCTCTATGGTAATTCTTACAGAAGTGGAGTTGATTTTGTGTGCTTTCAGATCCACTAACAGTCACACACACAGGGCAGGAAGGGGGCCTGGGTGATCTTAGCTCAATTTTTTGGCCATTGCATCTGGAATAAGAAAATAGAAACTGTTAGTGCAATTATTCTAGGCATAATGAACTACTGGTAGTAGGCAATCAAGTAAAGATTAAATGGACTTTGATTGCTCATTGTGGCTAAATTGAAATCAATTTTAATGTATTGATAACTGTTAAGAATTTTTTGCCTAGTGTCAGACATGGTCAGGGAACTGTTAGTATGACAACAGCTCTTTGCGGAGTCCATCGTTTCCAAACAAAGTATTGGAACATTTTAAAAAGTTTTTGATGAATCAATATGTCAGTAAATGTGAACAAAGTTAATTTTTTAAGATAAGGTGAAATAAGTTTTGTGACTGATCAGAGTTATAAATGAAAACAGATCTTTGAGGAACAGAAACACAGTCAAAATTTATTTCAACAAATTAGTTCCTGCAACTGTTTGTCCCACTTCATCTAAAACTGCTCTAGCTACATTTTTTTTTATTTCTAAAAAAATCTAATCTCTACAATTATGCACAAACATACCCTTTCATACTTAATATTAAATCACGTTTATCACAAGTGCTTTATTTCATTTTTTTTTTTCATTTATAACTGAATGAGATCATTTAAACTTACTTATGTGTATATTTTTGGCCCTTATGTATCTTTAAATCACAGCAAAGATCGTTTTCAGGGTCGATAGCCCTTGTTCCACAGCATCCCAGTCCAGCAGCGTAATAAAGAACCCCACGACAACATGTAGCAGTGTCATTGTGGTAGCAATCCCTGCCACAGGGGAGGTATGATTTAGGCACAATTTTTCCATTGCAGCATTTATGTGTGTCAGAGTTATATGTGTCATAAACACCTGCAAAAAAAGTTTCATTTAACATAATTATAGAAAAAGAAATAGAAATAGAAAAAAAATTCTAATTCAGTTAAGTCACCTCTTTTATTTTCAAATGATTTTATACCACTTGTCATGATAAACCTTAATTACCATGTAAAGCCCCAAATAGCCCCTAAAAATTGTAAATAGCAATTAAAAATACAGGTGAAACTACTGGGTGTAAACAAACACTTATATTTCCTTCATCTGGAGCCCTTCTCCCACCCTACCCCACCCCTACACCACCCCATTCCACCCCCCACCCACCCCACCCCACCCACCCC